CCTCTGTGCTGTTTCGTCGCTTGGTTTCCAAAGCGCTCGCCAGGGAGTGGGCCGACCAAGCCACGAGGCCTTGCTCTTCACGCTCGAACAGACGCGCTCGCTGCCCACGTGCGTGCCGCCCTTGCGACATGCAGGGGAGCCGTATTGGTCTCGCTGGATGGCCGGAGTGCGTGCGATGGCATGTCGGCGGCCTTCCGCAGCAAACTCCGCGAGGTGGCACCCGAATTGCTCCCGTTCGTCCTCGGACAGCACGACGCCCTACAACAGGAGGCGGAAGCGCTCCCTCCCGACGGCAGCCTGGTTGCTTTCCTGGACGACCCCTGCGTGGTCACGATGCCGTCCAGTGCCAGAGCCGTTCTCGACGTCACGATCACGGTCCGAGCGGTGGGCGTGCCCGCAATGCCCGTTCTTCCCGTTCGCTCCCCCGTCGCGGCCGCTTGCGCTTGCGCCTGAAGAGTTTTGCTGGATGCTGCCGGCATGCTCTCCCCAGTGGCCCGCCGTGTGTGGCATGCATCCTGTGCATGCATCCTGTGATCGGCGCCTGGTGGCCCCATACGGTAGCTGCCCTGCTCGCACGCCCTTCCTGCCCGTGCCTCCGCACCCTGATGCTGCTCCGCGTCCAGCGCGCCCCGCCACCCTTGCGCGCCTCAGCCGCCGAGGGCGGGGCGCGCCGCTGGTGGAGTGTATTGTGGGTTGCCCTGCAGCGAGCAGTCGCGAGCTCCGCGCGTGGCGTGTGGACCATGCCGCCGCTGCCTGGTGCGCCAGACACGCTCTCGTTGAGCGACGTGCTCGAACTGGCGAGTGCGAGCGCCCCCAGTCTGCTATAGTCGGCTGCCGCTTCGCTAGCACTCCGTAGGAGTCTAGGTAGCTGACGTCGTTGGGAATCGGGACGCTTTCGGCGGACGCAAAAAGGCGCGGAAAAAAAAAGTAGCTTGCACTGGGACGGCGCTCCGACAGGTGGAAAGAGTGCGGAAAAAAAAAAAAAAAAACAACAGAGGCCCAGGGTTCTTGAGCAGAGTCGCTGGCGATTGGCTGATGCCAGCGCTTTGTGCATCTTTGCGCTATGCTTGGCACCTTGTGGATGAGGCTCAGAAGGGCAGAGACACCACCCGGCGACCGGAAAAAGTTCTGAACCAATCGCAGCACCGCCTCCATGAGCTCGATTGACAGGAAGAGCGAATGGTTGCCCATCCAGAGGTCAGCTTGCTCGAACGGCTTCAAACCACTGAGGCCGAGAAGTTCATCCGCCGAGCGTACGCGCGGCAGCGACAGCGGCTTGGGCGAGGCGTTGGTGGAGCATGCTTTCAGTCGCGGTGCAGCAGGCAGTCGCCCGTGCGGCTCTGGGAGGTGCCTGGCGGCAGCCGCTGCAACCTGAGGCTGGCGAGGGCCTGCCACTCGACAGCGTCGTCCACCACGCTGCCCCTGAAGGCTAGAGTCGCCTGCCCCTGCGGCCGTAGCGCGATATCCCGAGCTCCTGCGGGCAGGTCCGCAACGGCTCGTCGTGCTCGCGGCGGAGGTGGGCGGCAGGTGGGGCGAGGAGTGCCAGCGCTTCGTTCGCAGTTGCCAGCACAGCCCTCGGATGCCGGCGCTTCCGAGCTCGCAGGACTGGGTCCCCCTGGCTGATGTCCTTGAGCTCGCCGATTTCGCGGGGCCCAGCCGCCTGCCGCTTCGGTGAGACGTGGGTACATATGGGGGGTGTGGGGATCTGGATCACGACCGCGGCGAGAAGAAAAAACAAGTACAGGCTGCGAAACTGCGGAGTCGATCATCCCATTTCGTTAGAGGGGGCGGACGCAGCACGCCGGAAATGCCAAGCCACGTGCCCGGAGTGGTTGGCCGCCCGTAGGTGTCGCTTGGTCGTGCTCGCGGTCGAGGTGGGTGGGCGCTTTGGCGCCGAGATGGCGGATTTCCTCCGCCGTTTGGCCGCCTCCAAAGCGCGGACTGCGCCGTGGCTCCGGGCCGCGGCTGGCCGGCGGCTGGCCACCGCTGGACAGGTATGCTGGCCGTCGCAGCGCAGCGGGCTGACAGGGCGAATTTGCGTGACGGGGCGGAGCCGGCGGAGCCGCTGCTGGCTGACCTGTTGGCGGACGCTCGCCACGTCTTCCCAGTGGCCGCGAGCCGCTTGACGCTGCGCGGCTGAGGCGACGCCCGCGGCCAGTCCGTAGCAACCCCAACGACAAACCACTGCGAGGAAATTTGGCGTGCAAAAAAAAAACCAACTGCTGTGCATGCCTGGAGAGTTGCACACGGCTTCCTGCCAGACATAGAAGGGCGATGCGGACGAACTCACAAAAGTCGGTTAGCAACTTGAGGTCCTCTACCGGCATCCTGGAATAGTAAGTGGTGGTATTAAAAAACAAAAGTATGTGTTGGTAGTTTGGTTAGTCCAGTTATTTTGAGTGTTCTCCCGGCCTTCCAGAAGCACAACTTCTACCCCTTGGCTGCAACGGTGTGTGTTGGTGGCTTGCATGGCTCGCCACAGGCAAAGTTTGTCAGGCACGAAGTTGTCAGGCACGAAGTGCACAGTTGCCTGCCGTTGTTGGGCAAGTCCTGCAATGGCCCTCATGTGGTGCGGGACCGTAGCCATAGCTCCCACGGTTAGTTTTATTTTTTCACTAAACAGGTGTTGTTTTGCCGGTAGGCGGGCATTGCATGATGGCAGTGGCCAGCACGACCCCCGTTAGCGATCCCGCAGAGAGTTGCAAACTCACTGGGCAAGTCTCGAGCATAGGCCTGCCAGCGCTATGTGAATGCCAGTAACAGGCCAGTCAGAATGGCTGGATGGGCGGATTGCAGCTGAGCGACAGGTACATGGGGAAGTAGTTTTCGGCCTGTATGATACGCCGACGTACCTCTACCGGCGGGTTGCCAGTGGCGATGAGCTGACGATGTACTTTTGGCTCCGCACCCACAGGTTGCCACAGAGGCAACGCCCAAACCTCACGGCAGCGCTGCTATCGTTTTGCCAGGCATAAGAGCGGGTGGATGAGCTAAGTGTCGACATTCGGACAGCGGGTGAGCGTGTGGTTGCCCACTGAGAAATTACACTGCCCCTAATCCGGCTTGGATCGACACGGTGTAACCCCTAACCTGACCACAGAAAAGAACAGCCCCGGAAATAAGGACAGGCCAGTTTCTGGTTTCCCTTCTCCTGTGGTGGGACAGCCTGCAGACCCACATTCGCAGACCCGTGATGGGTTCAGGGGGCTCACGATCGAAGTCGCCAAACCCACGCTCAGCTGTGCAGACTCAAAAACGTGCGGAAGTGCTCATACTGTTGCAGTTGCTGGCAAATGGCGTGCGTGATGTGCGTGAGCGCGATCGGAGAACAAAAAAAAAAGGCGTGGCGCCACAGGAGCGGGCCTCAAGCAAGCACACAACCAACATGTAATCGCGTCCTTCAGGTATCCCAGGCTGCTCAAAGGAGACGTGGGATTCTAATCCAAGGGTGATCGAATCCTTGGGAAGGCGCGGGAGCAACAGGGTTCCTGGATGTTCCTGGCTCGGGGCGGGTCTCCAGACGGGGTGCTCTAGACGGGTCGAGGTGGGCATACCGTGCCTGTGGGCCCTCCGGCGGGCCAAGCGTCACCTGGCTTCTGTTCGTTAGCCACCGCACCGCAGGCAGCATAGACTGATCCTGGCAAATCCCAAAAGGACTCCTCAGGAGAAGAAGTACTCCCCTCGCTTCTGTGCTAGGCGACAGTGGCAGGGGCCAGGCGGTGAGGTTCGGGTTGTTCCATTGTCATGATCACTGTTTTTTCGGCATTCAAAATGAGGCTAACCTCACCAAGTGCTGCAGTGAGTAGATCAAGGGCGCGACGCGCTTCTTCTTTAGATTTCGTGAAATAGAGGACATCATCAGCAAATCGCAGTTCCAGAAGTCCTCGCAAGCCATTTCCCAAGGCGGTCCCAACCAAGTCCTTCCATGAACTCCTTGCCCATTCCAAAACAGCACAGAACAAACGTGGACTAAGGACGCAGCCATGTCTCACGCCAGCACGAATTTTAAAAACACGACTGCGGTCCGAATCGCCGTGGACTTCGCCCCATTGTTCATGGCGGAGACATTGGAGAAGCCAAATCGGGTGATCAGAAACACCGTGACTCTGCAATGCTTGCCATAAAGACTGCCGATCAACAAGATCAATCTTCTGGAATAAAACACTCGCTATAGCAGTGACGAGCACCGTAACCCGAGGCGCGTCGACAAAAACGCGTTTGCCAGCTGGCACGCTCGCGTTCCTGCGTGCCTTCTGTGCAAGCCTGCTCTCCCTGCCCCTCCACGGCACCTCCAACATCGATGGCGACATGCCACTTCTGAGTGTTGTGCTCGCCGACTCCTCGCTCGCGCCCCGCCTTGCCAGCCGTCTGCCGGCCGCAGCTTTCTCCGAGCTCGGCAACGCATTTTGCACTGGGACCGCGGACGGTCGGGAGCAAAAAGTGTGCAAAAAACAACCGCGCATCAAGCATCGACTCATCTGCCAGACCTGAAACTAAAAAAAAAAAAACCTTGGCTCCTTCAGTAAGGATGGGCAGCGCTGACCAACTGTTCTATTGCAGCAATGCGTGCCGTTTCATGAACAACCTGTGTTGCCACACGGGGGCAACGCATCAATGGAGATGTACGTCCAATGCTCAAATACGAGCATGCTTGCAGTCGATGCTGAAAGGAATAACTCCCCCACAGCAGTGTTTGTTAGTAAGCAAATGTGGTAATGTAATGACATGAAGGAACAAATGAGAGCGCGATGCAATATGATATAATATGATGCTGTTTTATGCTTCACCACGAGGAGACATGCTTGAACCTGAAAGTTGTTGCCCAGCCGTTTGTTGTCGTCGCGTTTTCAGTTGGCTCGATTTCAGCAACTGGTGCACCCTGTAGTTTAGTCATTGGCCGCATTCCTTTGCGTGCTGACCTTGATTGAAATGTTACAAGTGCTGCTGAGTGTGTAGGCTCTGGCAAAAGCGCCCCGCTGAGGATCCCACTTTCAATCAGCATGGAAGCTTACGCAGAAGGACGCGTTCAACAGCGAATCGAAGCAGCCTTGGAACGTGTTCGTGTCATCTTAGATGCCACGAAAGATCCGCAAGCGGCCGGGGACGTTCATCATCAGATGCTTGGCTGCCATGCTCATTGCAGCAAATATTGCAGGTTCACCTGGTGTGATGCGTCTACGTGCATGTCAGCAGCACTTTCATGCAAACTTGGTTCGTACTGGTGGCCACCACAACCACAGGTATGAAGACAAATACTTACTGGTGGAGGTGTGGTTTATCGATTGCGCTGTGCCACTTGTTGTTGAGGGCAGTCGAGTGGTAGATATTTACGGCAGTTTGTGTGCAGGGCGTGACAAACGCCGCAGTTGCATCACAGCTGAATTCGTTTTGCGCCTTGGGCCTGACCATCCAGCAAGTGCAGACGCTGCAAGAATGGGCCAAAGACAAGGCGGACTCTTGGCATATTTCGGTCACAGCAAGTACACTTAATCTGATAATCATGCTTTCCCAATGATCTTCTAATGGTATGCTGTGGTGATGGCAGCGTTGGAAAATGGTTTGGGGTGCGAACTGCGCGGCAGTGCATCTCCAAGGTATCGTTCCAATTCATCTCGGAAGAGACGTGCGCCTACGATCGGGAAGAAACGCGAGAAGAGGATGATCCCAGAAGGCGGGTTACGGCTTGGGGATGAAAGGTTGGAAGTCTGAAGATTGCAGTGCTGTAGCAGCTTTCGGGTCGCTTCGGGTAATGTCGGGTTCTCTTGGGGAGATACCTGTCTAGAAGCAGCAGTGGGGCCGGGAGACGTTTTTAGCTGCATTGTGCAACGAGATGCATGTGGGGTGGGGCATGCACTCTGCCCCTCGTGGGCGTTTCGCAAGCCGCTTCAAGCTCTCCCTTCCGCGCTCTTACTCCGAAATGCTGGAGGAAAATGACTGCCCGCAAGATTCCCCCCAGAAAGGGCCACGGCCCAAAGCCGAGGCACGTGGAAGAGGTTTCGGTCCGAGGGGTTGTGCAGGCAGCATTCACCAGCAAGGCGGGCACCGATAATATTATTAACGTAATTAATTATTTGCATGAAGATATTAACAATATTAATATGAATAGTACCAGTATCAATAATATTAATTAGTGATAGTAATGATAATACTTAAAACTATTACTCATATGGCATCTTCCACCGGATTGAGACGTTGAGTAGTGAAGTCTAGTGAATGTCTATTAAATGCGGTCTGCTGGCTTCAGGTGGTTACAAAAATCACCGAGCATTTTTGGAACTTCGCGGTGAAGTACGTGCTTCGACGGCAAGACAGCATGCCATTGCATGGGCAAGGAACCGGTAGGTTGACAGCAAAGGGCAGCTGACTCGCAAGGAACTCGTGGCCATCAGAGGGGTGGGCGAAACTGCAGATGACCGGCTGTGCTTGATGAGTCGCACAGGACTTGTGGCTGTGGTTTGGCAACATCAAGTATTTGCCGGGGTATGCGTCGCCAGTGCAAAATTGCCAGTGCAAATTGCCTCGCAACATAAAACAACTCACGCAGACGCGTCGCAAGCTGGCGAGGACAAGCACAGCTAGTCACCTCGGCAAAGCAATCCCCACGACCGGAGGCATGGAGAGTGATTGGACTCAGACCGTGCTTCCGCAACTAAACGCCAGCCAGGTGAAGAAGCCAGCTGCTAAACACCAGGTGACGCATGGCAAGCACTGTTATGCAGTGGCTTTCGTTGTCCATATTGTTGTTGTACGTTGCTGTGCTGCTGGATGTTGTGCCATGTCGCACGGTGCTATCTTGTTGCAAACTCAAGCAGACATATGCGGAGCGCTCTATGCATGTAGCGCGGTGGGCTGACACAAGGAATGTCAGTTGGCTATTTCGCAAGCTGAAGAACGACAAGGACTGCGATACTGAAAGGTGTGTCACAGGAATTCAAGGGCTTGGAATGCATTCTTCTTCAGGCTTCAGCGTTCTGCTCTGTCCGCGGGTCAAAAAGCACGGTCCTAGTACCATGCCCATCCATGCCCAGTGACGTTCGGGGGCCTGGTCACGAATCATTGGCATGTTTAGCCATGAATACTCGGAACGAGTTACACGCCCACAGGGCAATTAATATCAATTGACGACATTTTCATGGTGTGCAGTTCTCTAATCACATGCCGCCTTTGCATGGATTGTTTTCCCACAGGCGGTGCCAGCTTTCGCAGTGGATAGGCTGGCCAAGGAGTGCAAAACTCCTCGGCGCAATGAGGACGTTCAAAAGGCGCATGGGCTTCCAGATGAGAACATCGGAGTCTCTCGGGGTTTTCTTAGGGATACTTGGGAATAGTTTTTCAAATTTGGGGTACTAGTAATGATTCCCAAGAAACAACAACGATTATAATTTGCCAGGGTTCCAAGTTCAGTATAGTTGTTGCAAGGTTCAGACTTTGCTTGCCCCTAATTTCAGAAACCTTACCCTAACCCCTAAACTCTAAACTCTGAACTCTAAACCCTAACCCCTAAACCCCAAGGCTGGTGGCAAAAAACCCTAAACCCTAAGCCCGATATAGACCACCCTAAATCCTCACTTTGCTTGCTTTGAGTTGCATGGGTGTCAGGCATATCAGCATTGCGAGCAGCTCGCCGTTTTCGCCAAGCAGGTGTCTAGCGGCCCGGCTTGGCTGGGCAAGACTTCCGTGGATGTCGCGCTTGTATTTGCGGTTTAGGGTTTAGGGTTTTTTTGTTTCGGGTTTAGGGTTTAGAGGGTTTAGGGTTGAGGGGCTTCCGGTCATGCTTCCAAGGCTACCTGAGGGGGCTCTTCCAAATTCAGACAACGGCGAAGAAGTCCCTGGACCTCGCTGCACTCCGTGACCAGCCTTTAGGGTTTAGGGTCTCCGTGACCAGCCTTTAGGGTTTAGGGTTTAGGGCTTAGGGCTTAGGGTTTAGGGTTCAGGGTTTAGGGACAGCTTGCGGCCCGAACCCCAATGCTCGTAGAGCCCCGGATTCATCCTTTCTGTCTGGGCGGCAGGGAGGCGCCACACTAGATTCGACCTGGATCCTGAGGAAGTTCTCTTTTTTTTGGGGTACCATTTGAGGACTTAAGTGCTGAGGGTAGAGTCCAAGATTTGCCGTGCAGACTTTACAAGTGGTTTCCGGCCCCAGCGAACCTGAGAAAGAGTTTGTGGGATCGGGGTGGGCCCGAATGATATGCGCGCGGTACTGTTGTTTAATCCCCTGCGAAAGCAGACTTCCATCGGGACCCTTCTGCAACAGTAGAGGGTGGCAACTTTCTGGCACGAAAGAAGTGAGGGATTTTGTTTTTTCTTTGGCAGCCCAGGCGACGACGACCTGTTCATCCCCGTGTTGCCGGTAATGGTACAGAACCATGGTCTCGAAACGTCTTTAGGGGTGTATATATATATATGGATATGTATACATATGTATGGATTGGCTTATACATGTTCCTACCGAGCGTCAGAGTCCTCATGGACTTCTCGTTTTGAGGGTTCAGCGTGTACCTTTGCAGATGTCCTTGAACCCTAAACCCTAAACCCCTAAACACTAAAACCCCTAAACCCCTAAACCCCTAAACCCCTAAGCCCCTAAGCCCCTAAACCCCTACATATGTATGGATTGGCTTATACATGTTCCTACCGAGCGTCAGAGTCCTCATGGACTTCTCGTTTTGAGGGTTCAGCGTGTACCTTTGCAGATGTCCTTGAACCCTAAACCCCTAAACCCCTAAACCCCTCAACCCCTAAACCCCTAAACCCTTAAACCCCTAAACCCCTAAACCCCTAAACCCTAAACCCCAAACCCTGAACCCTGAACCCTGAACCCTAAACCCTAAACCCACCCTAAACCCTCAACCGGACCGAGGAGCGCCCAGGAGGCAATTGAGGATGTGGAGATGGACGGCGGAGAGGCCCCCGAGGGGTGCCCATGAAAGCTTGCAGCCCGGAGCCCCGATGACCGAAACCCCTGGCAACCTTCCAGATTTATAAACCCTAAACCCTAAACCCTAAACCCTAAACCCTAAACCCTAAACCCTAAACCCTAAACCCTAAACCCTAAAAAACCCTAAACCCTAAACCAAGCGAGGGTAACATAGTGCTGTGCTTCTGACCTGGATAGCACTCCCCCGTCTTTTGAAGTGTGGTTGTCTAGTGCATTGATGTGCCTCGGAGAGTAGGGGGAGGATCGGGGTCCTTTTGTGAGCGGCGAGTTCCCACGAACCACGACTGTTCCCTGCGGAGTGATCCCAGAGGGTCTGCTAGGGGGGTGGCAAAAAAACCCCAAAACCCTAAACCCTCCAATGGTTTGAGCCGACAACTTGGACCCGAAGCCATGAACCCAGCCCCAAAAAGCATCATCCCACGGACAAATCCGGAGGCCTTGGTGCTGGTGGAGGCAGTGCGCGATGAGGCGCACAGCAACGTGCAGCTTACGGTCCAGGAGCCATCGTGCCCTGTTTTCAGTATTTAAACAAAAAACCCAGTCCAGTACGTCTTGTGGAGGACGAAGAAGGGCGTTGACATGCGTTGACTAAGCCGAGGGTTTTGTCAGGCGGGGCGAGTCGAGGGCGGGGTTGAGAAAAGGCTTTGTCAGGGGATGGGTCAAGTTTTTCAGCTGGGAGACCCAGGGAGGTTTGATGGAGGTTGTCTTGCGCCCTCAAGATGAAGAACCCCCAACTCAAATCAACTCATACCATGCAAGTCGGATGTCGGGACGCATGCCAATCCTCCACAGTAAGTTGTGAGCTCAGAGGCCATAGCGCACGTAGAGTGGATGATCAAGACCTCTTAGGCCTTCTGAGGAAAAGCGGAGCTGTGTTTGAGTTGGAGATTTTTTGGTGGCAGGACTCCAACCGACTGCTGCAGGAAGAAGTGCGAACGTTGAAGTCGAAGATGCTTGGATTGAAAGCTTGGTGCTTGGGTCAGCGTAGATGTCTTCTTCTGATTCGCAGGAATGTCCTTAGGCTTGAGGGACCTGGAGCCTACGTGGGTTTGACGTGCAATGCCATCTGAAGTCTCAAAGCCTGTGGGCTGGTGGCAATGGTTTCGGCCTTTTTGTGTCCCTAAACCCTAAACCCTAAACGGCCCTAAACCCTAAACCCGGCTTTAGGGGCGCTTTAAGTTTGGGCGCGGCAAGGCAGACCGATCTGGCAGAGGCCTTCCCTGCAGATGGCCTGGCAACAAGGGCAGAGGCCCTTCAGGGCCAGAGATTCTTTGGGGTTTTCAGGTGAGGGTTGAGCAGCCATTGGCCACGCATAAGAGCAATAGGAAGAATAGGCTCAACAACGAAAACCTGGCTGAAGAAGTCAGAAACACAACTGACTGGAACTATTGAGCCAACATAGATTGATTAAAGTTGGGCTCAGGGTGTCGGGCCCTTAAACCCGAAACCTTCAACCCTAAACCCTGGCAACCTAGCACCAAGCGGAAGCTGGTGCCAGCGCAGGCCTTTGCAGTCATCGCCCTGCAGCACGTCAGCCGGGTGTGTGCCAACTGGGCTGATGCCGTCGGCTACGTGGAGGAACCTCGACGAGCATGAGTAGTTACTGGGTGGTTGCCCGAAGGCGTCTCGCGCAGGCAAAAGGCGTCTCATCAGGGCGTCACCCTGCGGTTTTCTCGTATGTGACCTAGTTCGGCACAGTCATCGTTATGACATGTGGTCTTCTCATGAGGGCGTCTCCCTGCAGTTTTCCATTACAGTATCTCTTTCTTAACCTAGTTGTCTTTGGGGTCTCGCGTAGGTGTCACAAGGCAGTTTTCCAGTCTGTGATCTACTTTGTCGGGTGTCACACTACAGCTCTAAACCCGGACCCTCCCGTAACCTACCATAGAGCCTATGCTCAATCTACCGCTGGACCTTTTAATGTCATCAACCGTTTGCGTCGCACTGTTTGGTCTGGAACGGACAGACTCATCCCTGCGCATCCAGCAACTTTCGCTTGTGTTTGCTGTGTTGCGCAAGTAGGCTGGCAAGGCGTCACATTGGGGTTTCAGGGTGCATCGTCGTCCGAAATTATATTGGAATCGGTACTCGGCGCTAGGTCTCGCGTGCACTTTGCTTGTTTCTTGCTATGTTGCAAAGTAGCCTGTCAAGGGCGTCTCCCTGCAGATTAGCTTTCCGTGGGTCGCCTTTTGCATGCATGGGTTGCCTTTTGCATTCAGGGGCGTCTACTTGGGGTGAGTCGCCTTTTGCCTGCGTGGGTCGCCTTAGGGCGGGCACCCAGTACATGGTCCCTTGGTATGGGCCCGTAGAAGGGTACCCCTTATTATATAATAACCCTTATATACCCAATATAAATTAAGGGCATCAGAACCCTGTAAAGTAGGGGGACCATATTAGAGCCCACGTAACTACCCATTAGTACGAGCAGGCTCAAGTTATGAGGATATGGACTGGCCTCAGCCATTGTTCTAGTCATCTCAGACTGTTCCAGTACTTCGATCGGATGCTCCGACCACTTCCTTGCAGCATGAGCCCAACCAGAACCCAAAGCACCAACATCCTTTCAGTTGAAGTTCCGGCACAAAGTTTGCAGATGGCTGAGATGAGCCACGCATGACCCACGCGGGCTTCCGAAGCCTTAAGCCACAACGCCTGAGGACATGCTGCGCAAGCAGCTTGCTGCTGCAATTGGCAAGGAGGTGTCGCCGGCAGACTTCGCTGCGTACATGAGGCCGAAGACAGGGTGTACCATAAACAACCCTGCTGCGAGCTGAAGCCGGGTCCTATAGACCCCATCCCCCACAAGCCCTCCATCTAGCAGAGCCCTAAGAGCAAGAAGTCTCTCGACACCCCCTGTGTGCCGTCAGGGGACGTCGAGTGACAGCTTGAGCATGAATTCGCCCGAGCCAGAAACCTTAACAATCCCCCTAAACCCTAAACCCTAAACCCTTAACCCTTAACCCTTAACCCTTAACCCTTATCCCTTAACCCTTAACCCTTAAACCCTTAAACCCTTAAACCCTAAACCCTAAACCCTAATCTCTAAACTCTAAACCCTAAACCCTAAACCCGAATCCGAAGCCTGAAAGTGCTCAGCAAGGTGGCCTTCAGTGGAAAAGGCCCTAGGGCTCTACTTACCTACAGTTTAGAGATGTTTAGTCGTAATTACCCTGAGTTCGTAGGTATGACCCATAAAACTGCAGCTCAAGGGGGTTTAGTAGTAATTGCCCTGAATGAGTATAGGTATGACCCAAAAAACTGCAGCTAGAAGGGGGTCTCAGGTAAGCCCCGAACCCTAAATCGGGGGCTCCCAGCCTGTGGAACCTCGCGGCCGCAAGGTTCCACTACCGGAAGCTCTTCCACGAGGCGGGATCTTGGCGTCTTCGGGTTTAGGGTTTTTGATGCATGGGAGTCTGGCTTGCCTTCAATCCAGTGGCAAAAAATGTTAGGGTTTAGGGTAGGCTTCTGTTTGTCGCAAAGTTCGGCTTGTGCTTGCCGCTTCCATCTCTTTCTGGTGGAGGGGGGGCGGGAGAGTGAGTGTCACTGTCTTCAAAAGACATACCGGAAACCAAGAGAGTGGAAGCCCCAAACCCCCGTCCAGCTAGGAGATACTCCAAAACCACGAACACCCAAGGACTAGGGCGGATCAGGGCTCTGGCTTTTGCCCAAAAGTGTTCAGGGTCTTGCGCTTGCTGTGTTTCTACATCGTTCTCGGCTCTGCTTTTCGAAGCCGAAGGTCGTGAGGAGGCAGCTCTATCACTGTGTTGTGCAGGTGTGCGAGCCAGCAAGCCCTGACTGAGAAACGAAACCGAAATGCGGAAATGCCCTGAGCCCAAATCTCCTAAACTATCCTTGCAGCAAAATAGCAACAGAACACCTAAATCCTAACCGAGCACCTACTCACTAAGCTGCGTGAAATCCAGAACCTGACACGACACCCATGCATGTGTGAGGCATTCCTGCCGAAGCCCCTGTGCTTCTCTGTCCGCCGCTCCGACACGCACAGCCCGGAGGGAACACTGAGCATCGCGCCACTTTCGCAACCAGCGGGTCTATGTAAGCCTTGGGGTTGGGGTGTCAGGATCGGGTGGGCTTTCTAGCAGTTTATAATGCTTTTGAATGATGTGTTTATGGTGTTTAAGAGCAGCTATATGATGTTTTATGGTCTTTAAAGAGCTTTTAACTCCCATCTTATCACTGGCTCACTGAGGAGGAGGACGTCGTTGGGCCTGGTGGCGATTCCAACATCAAGAGTCCCATCGTCACCATGGTGGCCAGCGCTGCAGAGTCTGCACCCATGACTTTCCCGCGCCCTGGCGAGCGCGACATGTACAGACCGGCTTTGAATTAAATAGACATATGTATCTATGTGTGTATATACATACAGTTATATATATATATATGCACATATATATATATATATATCTAGCATGAAAATGCGCATTCGTGTTGCCTGCTCTAAATCATGCGGCTGCATGTCAACATAAAGCTTGTGGCGATGCTGCCATCTGCACTATCACCTGCACGAGAACCCGAAACATCGCACCGTCGCAATGCCGAGCTTTTGACAGAGGCTGAGCGCCTCCACGAACATCACCTTCGGTGGGGAGAGGCACCTGCATGCATGGCTCTCGCACCAGCGCCCAGGATCAATATGTGACGCCTTCGCGTTCAGGGTGGGATTTGGGGATTCTGGTGCACTTGCGGCATTTCAGGGTGCATAGGGTGCGCAAACACACCACTCCATAACCCGGAAGACCCCGAGACCCCGAGGTTCTCTGGCCAATCTGGTTGCCAGCTGTCTTTGGTGGCACGCGCCGCCTGCCCGCGCTGGGTTTGGGGGGGGAACCCACAGTTTACGTGGGAACCGAAGGGAAGGATAGGGAAGGCGCTGCAAAGTCCCAAAAGAGAGCGCCCCCTGAACTGCAGCCCTACGTGTAAACCCACTCGTTTTCTAGGGTTTCGGGTTTAGGGTTCAGGGTTCAGGGGGCGAAGCATTTGGCTGTGTGTGAAATGCTGTTTTCGTTCCAAGTGACCCTAAGCCCTATATAGAACCCTAAACCCTTTTCCAAGGCCAGGCAGTTCAGCTCCATGCTCGTGCTGCTACTTGGAACCAGTTCAGGGTTCATGGGGTTTATAGGGTCTCAGGTAGTTGCATAGCGCGGGTTCAACAAAAGGGTTTATAGGGTTTCTAGGATTTCTAGGGTTTCTAGGGTTTCTAGGGTTATAGGGTTTTGAGGGTTTTTTGGTTTTTAGGGTTTTGAGGGTTTTGAGCGTTTACAGGGTTTAGGGTTAAACCCCAAACCCAGAGCTTTTCAGTTTGGAATCCGCACGTCCCTGGGCCAGCAGTGCGACCAGGGCTTGCAGGCTTTGGACATGTCTAGGGCCTCATAATTAGGACCCAAGCAAGGTTTCAGGGTTTGTTTAGGGCTTGGGGCTTAGGGCTTAGGGCTTAGGGCTTAGGGCTTAGGGCTTAGGGCTTAGGGCTTAGGGCTTAGGGCTTAGGGCTTAGGGCTTAGGGCTTAGGGTTTAGGGCTTAGGGCTTAGGGCTTAGGGCTTAGGGCTTAGGTTTAGGGTTTAGGATTCGAACGCAGTTCAAGGATCGGACGGGTGGCTTCTGCGACCAGCTTTGACCCAAAGTATGCGGCCATCATCCAGAGCCTCACGCTGCCAGCAGTGTGAAAATATTTTGGGGGTTCTAAACTCTAAACCCTAAACACTAAGTAAACCCTAAGCCCTGGGCCTTCTAGGGCTCGAAAACGGGTCTTAGGGTTTAGCAGTTACCCTAAACCCTAAACCCCAAAACCCTAAAACCCCAAGTTTCGGCAGCTAAACCAGAGAGCATTCCCAAGTCGTACGCAAGGAACAAGGATGAGTTGACGATTCCACTGAATCTGTCGACGATCCCAACCCCAAAGGAGTTCAAAGATGCCATCGAGACTCTCGGTAGCAAGCGCTGTGGGGTTTAGGGTTTAGGGTTTAGGGTTTTTCGGGTGCAGGGTGTAAGTTTGGGTGTTCAGGGTGTGGATCAGAGTAGAGGCTGATGTTGCTCCCCTGCAGCCTCTCGGAGCCCTAAACCCTGAAGCGCCCTCTCCTGGTTGAAGCCCCGAGGTCTCTGTCGCCAGAGCAGCAAGCCTTCGCGAAAGCCTTCCGCGCCATGCAGCTGGAGTCAACGCTATTCGGCGTGCTCGTGGTGCAGATCAAGCCGCAGCTAGAGCGCGTGCTGAATCTTGGTAGCTGAGTACTTGGTACCCGTTTTCATCTTTTTTTTTTTTACCTATGGGTTCCCTTCGAAAAGTAAGTAGCACCAAAAAGGCACCCTTATTATAATGTGGGGGTTTACGATATCAGGGGTACCTTATTGGGGTCTCTATATCATAAGGGGATCCTACTAGTTGGGGGGATCCCCCATTTTCGGAAAACCCCACATGGCTAGCAAGGAATTTGTCTGATGACAGCCTCACGAAGGAGATCAAGCTGACGCAGGATCTCATGCAGCTCTTCATCAAGCGGCCCGGAAGCACCCCACGAACCTGAACATAAAAAACAGAGAGAAAACGACTAGGAGGAGTGCTCTTTTTGGTGTGAGACCGGGAGGCCCTCGGTGTAGGCAAGCTTAAATGGGGTGCTGGTATCGAAGCCACAAAAGACCGATGCTTTGAGCATCTACGCTGCTTTCCCCAAGGTACCAGATCCCCAGCGACCTGCCACTTGGATGCTTCGGGTATCGTCTCTCCGTTAAACACCTCACCCATATCATGTTGGACCTAGTGTGGTGGGGGAACCTGGTCTGCCCAGCCAATTTGACTGTAATCAGGAGGCCCCTACTAAACTGGGTCCAACATTACCGCCCCAACACCCAAGCTAGCGTCTTGGACACCGGAATCATGAGAGCTTCTGCCCTTTTTGGAAAAACCCTTAGCCTAAAACTCCAAGAAGTAAGAAGGTCTTGATTGCGTTCTGAGCGCAAAGCGATGACGCCACTTTCAAACTTGCAAATTGAGAACCTGACTGTGGGCTTGAGTCATGAGTTTAGGGTTTAGGGTTTAGGGTTTAGGGTTCTTTCTTGGAACCTACTCGATCCATTTCTTCGCACAGCTGCCTTGCTTGCGCGAGGGTAAGCCTCCGAACTTATTTTTCCCCCAGACGCCCCATATGAGAATGTGTATATACATATGTAATAAACTAAAAATATTCGGGGTTTAGATATATGTCATATATATATATACATAACATATGTGTCATATATATATATATACTATGGCAAGATCTACTAATACATACATACGTTCCCCACAGAATGTGACTGCGGAGGCTCTCATTTGACGCAACAGCCGGGGAGGCGGAGATGGTAAACCCAACCCCGGCTGAGCGTCTGGAGCGCGTGAAAGGCCCGGCTCTTAGGGCAAAGCAGGGGTGTGGGGTTTAGGGTTAAGGGTTTGGGGTTTGGGGTTTAGGGTTTAGGGTTTAGGGTTTAGGGTTTAGGCACTTAAGGCAACCAGAGGGTTAGGGCTTAGAGGAGGTTACGGTGTATAGTTCAAAGGGTTGAGGGCTTTTGGAGGCTTAACAAATTGAGTGGGGTAGGGTAGGGTAGAGCAAAGGGTTGGGTGGGTACCAGAGATGGCCTCCCAAGCACAGCCTTCTGAGATGGCAAGGACATGTGAAAGCGATGCATGAGATGATTGCCGCTTGGATTGGTTTTGCTGTCAGCTAATGCCAAAGCAAGTGGAACTTGAGGCTGAAATCCCGCACCCTAAACCCTAAACCCTAAACCCTAAACCCTAAACCCTAGACCCTAAACCCTGAACCGAGCTGTCTCCCTTGGAAAAAATGAAACTTGATCCCGGCGTACCACAGAGAAAAGGCAGATGCAGTGCATCTGCGGCAACAGACTGCCAAGACTGACGGGGGTTGCTTGTTTTCTGCAGACTGGCCTTGACGGTGTTGCATTTTAGTTTTTTTGTTTGTTTGTTTTTTTGGGGGTTTTGTTTTTTGGTTTTCATTTTTTTTTTTTTTTTTTGGGGGGGGGGGGGCAGGGGTAGAAGGTAAACTTTGGGCACCAAACCTTTCGCTGTTTCATCGACCTTACACGCGTCGTCCTTTTGGCCCAGGAGGGCGCCAAGCAAGAGGAGATCCAAGCACGGGAGCAGGAGGTGCTCTACGACGATCCTTTTGCAAATCAGCCCAGGGCTCCCTGTGGAGCAGCCGGAGGCGTGGCCCACCTTCAACGCAGCAGCGCCCTTGTTGAACCAGGTAGGGTAGGTAGAGAGTTCGAGGATCCCCCCCCGCAAGCAGCACAAAAAGCATAGATAGGCGGGTCCTACAGTCTACGGATGTCTAGGGATGTATACGGCTAAACAAGCCATGCTCAGAACTCTTCAACGCCACCTCCAGCCTAAACCCTACAACCCTAAAACCCTACAACGCTAAAACCCTAAAACCCTAAAACCCTAAAACCCTAAAACCCTAAAACCCTAAAACCCTAAAACCCTAAAACCCTAAAACCCTAAAACCCTAAAACCCTAAAACCCTAAAACCTAAAAACCCTAAAACCCTTAAAACCCTAAAACCCCTAAAACCCCTAAAACCCCTAAAACCCTAAACCCCAAACCCCTAAACCCAAACCCCTTTTTTCCTAAACCCCTAACCCCTAAACCCCTAAACCCCCTAAACAAACCCTAAACCCCTAAACCCCTAAACCCCTAAACCCTAAACCCCAAACCCCTAAACCCCCAAACCCCTAAACCCCTAAACCCCTAAACCCCTAAACCCCTGAACCCCTAAACCCCTAAACCCCCCCCCCCCCGACCCAAAGGCAAGGGGGGCATGAGAGGCTCGGCGAGGTCAAGACCTATGGCAGTGCCGGCCCCTCCCATGGCATCCTGGCACCTCTCTTTGTTTTCGTTTTAGTTTTATGCAAGGGTTTAGGGTTTAGGGTTTAAGGTTTGGGGGTTAGGGTTTAGGGTTTACGGTTAGGGCTTGGGTTGCGGTTCGCAAGGCCGAACTTGCGGGTTTAGAGGGATTAGAGGGATTGCGGGGGTGGAGATGTTGCAGGTTGCGGTTGGTTCCCCCCTCCAGTTCACCGGATGGCGCTTTGGGCGGTCGGTTAGTGTTGTTGAGCAGATGCATCCGAAGCTAGATGTGGGGTTTAGGGTATAGGGTGTAGGGTTTGGGGTTTAGGGCTTAGGGGGGCTTGCCCCGAGGCAGCAATGCAGTCGATACAATTCTCCGCGATGCCTATGCCCGGGGCCGATTGCGCCGTGGCTGAGTGCGCTGCTGCAGCCCCGCCGCCGCCGGCTCCTGTACCCGGTGGAGCGCCGCCCCCTCAGCAGCAACAGCAGCAGCAGCAGGCGCAGCAGCAGCCGCAGCAGCAGAAGGTGCCAGAGTCTTCCCAACAGTTCGCAGACCAGGCAGGATCCACAGGGGCCACCTCGGGCAGCCGGGACTACACACAGGTGCCTGCTCAGATGGATCAGCGGTTTGAGAAGCTGGACACTGACAACTCCCTCCGACCGACGATCATCAGCGCGGCTGAGAGGTGCGCCCTTATCGCGATTGTTTAGGGTTTAGGGTCTAGGGTTGGGGTTTAGGGTTTAGGGAGAAGCAAGGTCGACACAAGGGAGCGAGAATCATCACCTTCGTCACACAAGTTACACAGGGGATTAGGCTGTGTCCAGACCTTTTGCAGAGTCAAACCCTGAACCCTGAACCCTAAACAATGCAGCCAAGTCTCCATGTCTTCAGGGTGCCGTTCTGAAATGACACGCTGCTCCCGTGCGTCGCAGGTGGACCAAGCAGTCCCAAAAGGCGTTGCTTGCAAGCCCTTCCACGTCATTCTTGTCAAAGACAGAGCAGAAGACGGAAAGGGAGGCCCAGCTGGTTTCGGGATCCGGCGTATACTCAGAATGTCTCAGAACCTCAATGACCCTAAACCCCACACGGAGGAGTGATATAGGTCGCAACCAGTGCTGTCGGGTGGCTGGGTTTCCGTAGGATGCAGGAGCTCATGGCACAAGTCGGACGTAGGCAAATGAAGGCTCTTAGGTCGGAATTCGATCCGCAACCCCTCGTGCATGCTTTCGTGGAGGGGACTCTCAGGGATTCTGTCCGAAATCTTCATGATAAAGCCCTGCAGATTCCCCAAAAGCGTGGGAGGCTGCATTCGACCTCTTAGACGCCCTGACGAAGTCTGGGGCCTTGCCTCTGACCCACGCAAGCCTTCATGCACCTTGGCCCGCATGGGTCAAGGCTTGCGCAGTGGGGAGTTTGAGAAGTAATTTTGTGGTCGGGTGAGATCCGACAAAAGGTGCCCAAACAGAAGCCAGTCTAAGAAACAGCAGGGCTACAGCCGAGCCTTCTTGCTGTAGTCCATCGTTTAGGGTTTAGGGTTTAGGGTTTAGGGCAGTAGCACGAAAGTTCCTGCCTTGCTTGGCAGTGCTCTTGTCCAATGTGTAGTTCCTTGGCAGTCACCAGTGCTGATGGGGAGCTTCGGTTGTTCTTTTCTTCTGCCTGTGTATGGATGATACGCGCGTCCCGGCCTCAGCCCAGGGGTTAAAAGGGTTTAGGGCAGTGCAGCAGTCCTAGCCGTAAAAAGGGTTTAGGGTTTAGCATCTATCACTTGCAGGTGGTCATTGCTGCCACCCACTGCTTCGACAAGACCGTCACCGAGACCGTCATTCAGAACAACGTCAACCCCATTGCGAAAGTGGCGACCCGGCTTTGACCCCCAAGAGCCCCAAGAGAACCACGATCCGTTGAAGAGCCATTGTGAAGCCCCAACCCCCCCCCCCCCCCCCCAAGTCCAAGGAACCCTGAGGATGCACGCTGGTGCACTGGATGTCAAGGGGGTTTAGGGTTTAGGGTTAGGGCTGAATTTTCTGGCATTCCCCGCCCAGCCCAGATGGAAAAAACCGGGCTTAGGGCCGGGTTCAAACAGGGTTTAGGGTATCCTCGCCCAAACTCTGAGGCCAGGGAGTTATCCCCTAAACCCTAAACCCCATAGGGTTTTGGTTTTAGGGTCTCGATGGCTCAGAGAGCCCAGGGGTCAAAAAAGGGTTTCCGTGGTATTTTGTTTTAAGACCTCTCTTGGGGCGGTCTGAGTTTTCCCCCATAGCCCATAAAACTTTTTAGAAAAGGCCCTTTATGGGGTTGATTCTGGGGATTCTAAGGCCGTAGAAAGGCCCTTTACGGGGTTGCTTCTGGGGATTAGAAGGCCCGAATAGCCCTAAACCCTAAACCCTAAACCCTAAACCCTAAACCCCAAACCCTAAACCCTAAGCCCTAACCCCTAAACCCTGAACCCTAAACCCCTAAGCCCATCCCGCAAGAGGAGCGGTCTTCGCTGATCATGGCCTCCACCGTGCACGAGAAGCCGGTCGGCGAGCTGATCAAAGACGAGCAAGTGCAGAGGGTGGCCATGACCGATTTTTTTTTTTTTTTAAAGTGGGTTTAGGGTTAGATAGCAAAATGCAGTAAATATATTATTTAAGATCTGATTGAGGTGTTTCTTTCTAGGGGTTATGGGTTTAGGGCCGTTTAGGGTCTTGAGGTTATGGGTTTAGAAGGGTTTTGGGGGTTAGGGTCTCGTTGATGCCCGGCGTGAGGCCTGGATGCAAAAGGTTCTGGTTGAAAAGGTTATAAACCCTAAGCCCTAGGCCCTAAACCCTAAACCCTAAACCCTAAACCCTACAAGGTTTGGGGTTGGGCGGAGCCGGGGGGGGGGGACCTTGTAGGGCTCAAGCGACAGGGCTTGTAGTGGCAGGGTTGAGGGTGCCAGCCTTCCACCTTGTGTTGAACCCTAAACCCGAAACCCTAAAACCCTAAATCCTAAACCCTGAACCCCTGCGTGAAGCCTGCTGCTGCAGAGAGTCCTTGCAGAAACCCTAAACCCTAAACCCCAAACGCTAAACCCTAAACCCTAAACCCTAAACCTTTTCCTGCAGGTCACGGCCGCCTCCCCTCAGCTCTTCCTGGAGGATGCCTCCAGCTGAGCTGCGCACAACTCCTCTTAAGCCCTTTTTTTGCCTGACGCACTTCTGACTTGAGGGTGTTTACTCAAAAAAAAGAGGGTGTAGGAGGTTTAGGGAGTTGGTACTGGTAGGGGTTCAGTGTTTGGTTTTTGTTCATGTGTTGCGGTCAAGCATGATTTGGGCTGGAGCGAGAAAGTGACACGCCGACCGAGCGCATTTGCCTGAAGAAGTTCAGGGAGTTGGACTGCCGCCTTTCACGCCGCACTGCCTTGTTTTGCACAGACTGGAGCAGTGCGCCCAAGGGCCGGCCCCATTGTGGGCATCGACAGATGGGAACCCCATGAAGCAGCCACAGCATGGTCGTAAGACCCAGACAAGGCTTCATGAGCATTTGCGGAGACACAGACCCAACCTTCGGGATGCAAGACGACGCACGAGTAGTTTGCCATTCATCCAGGCATCCTTATTGCCATGCGAACCTTGAGCATAGCCAAGAGCCAAGACAGCTTCGACGGTTTAGGGTGGGCTGGGCCGTGAATGGGGTTCAAGGGACTCCTACCTTCCACCCCTAAGGTGCTAGCCTTGGGTTCGGGGGACAATTTTTGCAGATCCCTTTAAGGTAGCTAGTAGGCAGTATACTGAGGGAAACCTTTAGAAGTACAATCTTGGGGGTACGAGTTTAAGGTAGCCTTGTGCCCTTCATAAGGCTTGCAGCCTAGAACTGCAGTCTATCAGCTTAAGGTAGCCAACCCGGATTCACGTGTCTAGGAAGGGGTTCTCGTCCGATGCAGACAAGAGAGGCCCACATGGTGGTTTCGTATTGTTTTCAATCCTGTCAAGAGAAATTTGAACAAGTTCAAGTTCAAGAGGCGCCCAGGGGGTTGGTATGGCCTTAGGAAGTTGAGTCATGAGCCATACGTCGGCCGATTCATATTCCCTGGGGTGCCGCTTGGACAGCCAAGCACTGGTTGCTGCCCACTGCTGTACAGACTCAGTCCGCAGGAGCCCTGAAAAGAAGCGAGCATTCCGAATAGAGAGCAGCTGGAGGGCCTTCTTATTTTTTTTTCCAGGAGTCGTTCTCTTCTCAACTATGTCCAGCATAGCATCTGGTCGACCAGCCGACCACATCCCAGGATCTAGCTCCCCTTGCACATGGGAGGCTTATCCGAAGGCTCACACAGCCCCCGCAGCTTCATATCACCATGCAGTGGTTGCTTTCAGGTGTCACCCGCCCGCCTGTAGTCAATCGTTGGGTCGGGCGAGAAGACTTCGGGCTGAACGGCTTCAGATGCTGCTTTGCGCATGTTCATATCCTAGGTCCGTGTAGAACTTCTGACATCCACCCTACTTTCACCCACCCAAGAACAACCCTAAACCCTAAAATTGTCGCCGTCGTAGCCATGGCGGCGGCGCTTGTGGGCAACACGCTGCCCAGTGCTGCGCTGCAACTCGGGAGCTTCGGACGATTCGATTTCCGGTTCCTACTCGTACCTTGGGGAGCCCTAAACTGGGGTCATATACCCTCTACTATAATTCCTCTTGAGGTATATGAACCATAAACCCTTTTAGGGATCATTTCGTCCCCAAGGTACGATTTGCTGAAGAACCCCCAAACAGCAAAGATAGCAATCCCTATAAGGTTTTTTTGCTTAAGACTTCCCCAAACAGCCAAGATAACAATCCCCATCAGGGTAACGGCAGGGCGAGAGAGAGAGAGAGAGAAATATATATATATATATATATTACCCTTGTAAGGAAGAATGTTTTTCAATGTCTTGGCGGGCTTCTTAAGCAAAGAGTGGGCTCGAAGAGCTTGCCGAGTAGCTGTGGAAGCCCAAATCGGGGGTAAACCCTCCGCCGTGTGCTCTTGCCCTACGAACCCGGAGCCCCTCTCGGCCCTTTAAAAGCTCCCACGATAGGGGCTTTAGTAAAGTAGAATAGGGTTCAGGGTTGAGGGTTTAAAGTTTAGGGTTTTGGGGGGGTTGTTATAGTATGAGTACTAAGGGAAGTCTCCGACCCCTGTACTACCCTGCTGCCCCTCAGCAGCCAAGGAAGGAGCTGCAGCATCCCTTGCGCAGGGCGAGGATCAGCCCCCAGGCCTCACGGGCCTCGCAGGCATACAGCAGAGGCCTGAAGCCCACAGCTGCTGCTTGGCACGGAACCTGCATAGGGATCATTGGAGTTCAGGGTTTGGGGAATTTGGGGACCGCCAACGAATGCCGAAGGCAGGATCCAATGCCCAAAGCCTTCCGTTCTAGCCCAAGAGGTGACGCACCAGGAGAATCGGCAGTTGCCTTGGGCTTTAGGGTTTAGGGATTAGGGTTTAGGGCACCGCCGGATGATATTCCTCCTTGCCGTTCTTGTCAGTGCTGCCTGCTGAGTCCGGTTGCGCCGGTGGCAAAGGAACAAAACCTACCCTGATCCCTTGAACTCCCAAGAAGTGTTCGATATTTTCCGCGAAGCCTAAACCCTAAGCCCTAAGTCCTAAGGGAAAAGCCCTAAACCCTAAACCCTATAACCCTATAAACCCTAAACCCTAAACCACCTCGGACCCGACGTAGCCCTGCGATGCGGATTCGCCCCAGCTGTGCGGGAGGGAAAGAAAACCCTGAACCCTAAACCCTAAACCCTAAACCCTAAACCCTATGCCCTATGCCCTATGCCCTAAGCCCTAAACCCTAAACCCTAAACCCAAACATCCTTTCGTAGAAACGCGAGGCTTGCGGAGCCTTGGGCTTCCTGGGCGCCCTTGCGCCCACGAGGAGGCGGCCCACAGCTCGCCGGGCTGGGCCCACTCCGGTGGACAAGGTGGAGGGAGGGTGTAGGGTGTAGGGAGTAGGGTGTAGGGTGTAGGGTTTAGGGTTTAGGGTTTAGGGTTTAGGGTTTAGGGTTTAGGGTTTAGGGTTTATAGCATTTAGGGTTTAGCGTTTAGGGTTTAGGGCGGACTGCAGCAGGGATGCCCTTCATGCAGCAGCTTTCCGTGCACGCGGCACCTATAGCATGTGCCATGCCTTTTAGAAACTGCTCGTGCAGATGTTTGTGAATAAATGTTTCCGTTCAAGACGCTCCTTCGTGCGATTTCATACCTGGGGCCCCTTTTTTCCTACAATACCTACTAATGAACGGTAGTTGTTACTGAATGGTGGGTAAATACAGTCCCAGGTGGAGTATTTAAAGCCTACTCTTTGCGTGGAGGTCGCTGAGAGCACGCTGGCCGTCGTGGGGCTCGGGAATGTGGGAGCTCGGTTCGACCTTTGGCTACTTCCAAGCTTCAAGCCCTAAACCCTATAAACCCTAAACCCTAAACCCTAAACCCTAAACCCTAAACCCTAAACCCACACCCTAAACCCAAAGTAGTGGTTCAGGGTGCACTGTTACTGTTCCAGACGCCCCACAAGGACTTGAAAGGGCTTTGCTGGATTCGCATAAGGGGCAACCCTTAGAATTGTGAAGACTGATCAATGTCTTTCGAGTTTACGTGCCTGAGGCTTCCTGAGGCATATCCGAGGCTTGTGCGATTCCAAGGATGGGACCCGCCACAACATCGGCTTTGCGGCCGTGGACGAAATTGCGTCGAAGCTTCTTAGACACCTGGTTGTGCAATGTTTCGGTTTGAGGAGCTACCGCGGCCCTAGGTCCCCTAAACCCTAAACCCTAAACCCTAAATCCATGGAATATCGAGGTGCAGGTTGAACGGGTGACTCGGCTTCCTTTAGCTTGACGTTGCCCTGATGTGCCCAAGGCACGGACCGATGGACGTTGAGCAGCAGCATTTGGCAGGTGCCGCGGGTGCTGCACGACCCTAAAACCCTAAACCCTAAACCCTAAACCCTAAACCCTAACCCCTAACCCCTAACCCCTGGACCTACCTTGTGGGCCAAATGAACCCCTACAAGTGGGGCCATATACCCTATACTACTACAGACCTATGAGGGTACATGAGACATAAACCCTTTCGAGGTTCATTCGGTCCCCAAGGTAAAGCCAGCAGCAAAGCACCCTCAGAGACCACGGCACAGGAGGCCTTCGGAGGAACGCTGCTACGCCTGCGGCGAACAGACTCGAAAGGGTGCTTCGGCAGAGCCCAGGCGGTAAGAGAATCATCAATCAAAAACGAAGCAATGTAACATAACAAAACACTGAATATAAACGGTATAATCATAGAATGCGATTGGAGGTTTCTGTAGCTTGTATTGCGTTTGGGGTTCATCGTGCTTGAGAGCACAGTGTTTGCGCCAATTTGTTCGGTAATATTTGTCGGGCCAGACGAAGGGGCAAACAATAACGGCGCTCTGCCGTGATTCTCATTACGTGGCTTCGGATCTCGTCCGTCGGTCGAACGCTTCCTCGGGGCTGGGGAAGGGGTCTGTGGCGGAAAAAGCAGTTTAAACAAGTTTGCGATATTTGCTGACGACTCGCGCCTTTCGAGGGCAAAGCGATAGCTTTACCGTACTGTCGGTTTCGTGCTGAATGCAAGCTTGCTCGGCAAATGCAGAAAAAGAGGGTGCCACGATCACACGTGCGCTGCGAAGTTGTCGGGTATCGTGCAGGCTTTGTGAAGACACCTGGACTGGTTTTTGCGACATCGCGACTTAAAACCGTTTGGCCGTGATGCTGCAAAGTACAGACACATTGGTTGACTTGCGTTTAGAACGGAGGCTTCGGGCAATGCACCTGTTTGTACCCCATACCTTCTTGGAGCGCCGCGTCGCACAGTCGCCATCACGCCTCTATCACATCCTAAGCGAGTCACCTGAGCCCGACCTCCCCCTCGAAAAGCCATTTCTGATCCGAGGCCCGACTCTTATGAGCAGATCCTCCTGCACCTCATCTGAAAGCCCTGAGAGGGCGCGTGTAGCACAAGTTGTCCTTTCTATCTGGGAGCGGGTTCGAACACAGCGTAGAAAGGAAATCACGCGCTTTGGTTCTGAGGTACCTAGTAGTAGAGTAGGTAACCTTGAACCTTTTTCGAGGTAGTATAATCCCCTTACAATCCCAAAGGTTAACCTTTAAGTCCCCCAGGCAACTGGACAACCAGGGTTATGACCGAGGTTCAAGCCATCTTCCATGATGAACGGCTCAGGTGGTCCAGTGTCCGAACTGGTCGGGGCCCAAGGGCATACAGCCGCCCTTATTTCACAACCCGATGGGCAGCAATACTGTGAATTTTTGCCTGCACGGCTCGCTTCGGAAAGAGATAGGGAACGAACCAGCCAGCCGCCCCTAAGCTCTATTCACAGAAAGCCCCAGTGTTTGAGCTTGAACGTTGAGGACGTCTAGGCCTAATGTAGATCCTTGGCCCCGCCGGCATTTATACGACCCCTGGAAAGTTGCTTAGGGATGCTTCGGCCATTCGGGTCGAGTTGAAAGATTAGATAGGCAAAGAAGGTTCTTGCCTTTGCCTACGCCGCAGTAGGGGGCTCACAAGTTGAGGGCATTTATGCGTGGAGTTTGGGTGCAGGATAGACTTCAATACATGCATAATATATATATATATATATATATGGTACCCCCCCCCAGTTATCCACACCTTTTCTGCTTGTTTTGTGTTTTTCTTGTTCTGGCACTGCGTATTTCTTTTTTTCGTTCGTAATTTGTTTTCTTTGCCCCAGCGTGTTGATTATATTTTCCTTCTTCCTTTATTTATATCTGGTTGATTATCTGTATGTTTATACTACACCTCTAGAGACGTTTCTAGAGTGCATAGTGTACTTAAATTTCAAGGCCTCAATGGTCAAGCACGATGAGGGACAAGGAGTATTGAAGTTCAATGCTCCGGATTGAAGTTCAATACTCCGGGATTCAAGATTCAAGATTCAAGGTTCCAGGGAAAAGTTTCCCCGGGATCTTGAATCCAGGGTCCCGAGTATTGAAGTTCAATACCCCGGATTGAACTTCAATACTTCTGGACCCTGGATTCAAGATCCCGGGGAAACTTTTCCCTGGAACCTTGAATCTTGAATCTAGAATCCCGGAGTATTGAAGTTCAATGCTCCGGAATGAAGTTCAATACTCCGGGATTCAAGATTCAAGATTCAAGGTTCCAGGGAATAGTTTCCCCGGGATCTTGAATCCAGGGTCCCGAAGTGTTGGATCTTGAATCCAGGGTCCCGAAGTATTGAAGTTCAATCCGGGGTATTGAACTTCAATACTTCGGGACCCTGGATTCGGGTATTGAACTTCAATACTTCGGGACCCTGGATTCAAGATCCCGGAGAAACTTTTCCCTGGGACCTTGAATCCTGAATCTTGAATCCCGGAGTATTGAAGTTCAATGCTCCGGATTGAACTTCAATACTCCGGGATTCATGATTCAGGATTCAAGGTTCCAGGGAAAAGTTTCCCCGGGATCTTGAATCCAGGGTCCCGAGTTTTGAAGTTCAATCCAAAGCCTTAGGGCTCCCCGGAGACTATCTCTAATACCCTGACGGGGTTAGCTCTATAGGGTTTAGCCCTATAGGGTCTAAGCTTTAAGCATTACCCGAAACCCTTGAGGGTCAGAACCCTAAAAACCCTTGAGGGCTCTAAAGATTAGAAGGCTGTAGCCCTAGAGGTGCTGAAACCATAGTTAGAGTATTTAAATGGGCCGGGCCGTTTCCCAAAATAACTATTTTGTTTCAAAATTTCAAGGATTTGAAGGAATGTACGGATTTTAAAAATTCAAAGGGCCGGGCATTTCCCAAAATAATTGATTTTTTTCAAAATTTTACGGATTTTAAAGTATCTAAGTGGCCTTTTACATTCCTTAACATCCTTAAACAGTTGAAAGCCAGAGTATTTTAAGGAGTTTACAGGGTTTTCAAGAATTGAAGGGTCTTTGTAAATTCTTTAAAATCTTTGAAGCTTTAACAGGGGAAACAGAACCATCAAATAGTACGTAAAGGTGAGTCGTACACAGGGTTATAATCCTAGAGGTAATGCCTCAACCTTAAACCATAACATGTGAACCCTATAGGCCTATAGGGTACATAGGGTTTAAACCCTATCGGGCTAACCCCGTGAGGGCTTTAGAGATGAACTTTTTGGGATTTAAAGGTTTGCAAAACTAAGGTCTGGGCATGTATACCTTCAGAGCCTATAGGGCTACAACCTTTGAGGCTTTTAGAGCCCCATAGGCTTTCAGGGTTCTGACCCAAAAGGGCTTGGGATTTAGATTCAAATGCCTAAGCCGTAAGCCCTTAAGGTTTATCTCCATGGGCTTATAAACCTTTAAGACCCCTAAACTTTTGAACCCGATACATGGTGTGGGTACTTATTCTGCTTATTCTTTGCATTTCCACCAAGCCCTACAAACAGAGGCAAAACCATGTGGGATTTTAGGTTTAGGGAATTAAGCCTCAAGCCTGATAGGGTTTTTCAGGCTCTAATCCTATAGGCAATGCCTAAACCTAAAGCCCTAAACTGTTGAACCCTATAGGCCTATAGGGTTTAAACCCTATCGGGCTAACCCCGTGAGGGCTTTAGAGATACCTTGAAAAACCCTAAACCTTTAGACTTTATGGGATTTAAAGGTTTGAAAACCTAAGGTCTGGGCATGTATACCTTCAGCGCCTATGCGGTTAAAACTTTTCAGCCTTGTGGAGCCCTATAGGCTTTTAGGGTTCTGACCCTCAAGGGTGCAGGTTTAGATGCCTAAACCGTAAACCCTTGAGGTTTAAACTCTATGGGCTTAAGTTTAAATACCTAGATCTTAAAATCTTCAAACCTATTAACCGTATAGGATTAAAGGTTAAGGGTTTAGGTGTAATTGCTTAACCTTGAAACCCTATGGATCTAAAGGTTCAGGTTCAGGTTTAACCCTAAACCCTATCGGCTTGAAGCCCTAAACCCTATAAGGTTTCAGTGCCTCTCTTTTTATAAGACTTAAACCTGAACCGATAGGGGTTTAGAGATTTGGCCCTGAAAAAAAGCCTTTGCAAGAACCAGGGAGCGCAGCGGAGCGGAAGGGAGGGGAGGGGAGAAGGTCGCTGTGCCCAGTGTTTGGACAGATGGAGAGGACTCGACATCTCAAGGATTGCATGCATTTACGTTATGTAGGGGATTGGGCTATTGGAGGAGGGGGGGGGAGTTCAGGGGTCACCGCGGCCCGTGAGCGATCTAATTGGCTCGCAACCTCAAAATGCGTGGAAAACCACAAAAAAGCGTGGATAACCCGGGGGGGGGGGGTAGCATATATATATATATATGTATGTATATCTCTCTCTGTGCCACTAGTAAGATAGTAAACAAGTTACATGTAAGTATGCATTACATAGATATGCACAATATATTCTTAATGCGCACCTTGTTTCTTTGTATTCAAAGGAAGACACTTTGGGTGTGACCGGCTTAGGCTCCTCGGCTGCTGTATGAGCCCACAGCCCTATGCCATGAAAGAAAGGTCGCTTCCCTGGAGCTGCCAGAATCTTCCCTGGTCGTGCCCACGACCGGATCTAGGGTTGACGGCTTCAGTTCTAGGACTTGTGGGCTTTGGGGTTTGTGAGTTTGGGCTTCAGACTCTACAAGGAAGCTCTCTGCGGCTTGCTGAGCCCCGAGGGCCTCAGACATCCCTCAACGACGAGCCAACCCCATGCCCCTAGCCATAGGTCCTGCACTCATGGCCATCTGACATGACTGGACTTGAAGAATCCTAAACTTAGCACTCGTTCCCAGTAGGAAGACCTTATGGACCTTGTGCGTATCATGATCGAGCTCATATTTCCAGCTCCGGCCTCGTGCTGGGGGCGTACTGTTGGAATCCCAATTCTCAACCAAGTGACCGAAGTTGGTGGCACTTGTGAGATATGAGCGGAGTTCCTCCTAGCCTCGCGATGCAGGTACATGCCGAGGCCTCGTGTCAGCTCGCATCCTCGTACATTTTTGCGTGCCCGCTGGTGTCAACCAAAAGCAAACCCAGGTAATCTACGACGACCTGGATCTGGATGTGGGTCGGCTCCGTCTCCGGAAATCCGGTTCCGCTGGAGGACGGGTGCAAGACGGGAAGGATGTCATGGGCAGTGAGTGAAGCTGGGAACAGATCCGGGCAAAGAAAGACTGCGGGAGGCTTTAGTGTGTGTTGAGCCCAGATGCAGAAAGAAGATGCTGCTTTGGCTTAGGAATACAAAGCCCTGGCACCCACTTTACCTACAGTTCAGTAGCAAGTACCCTTAATACGTAGGTATAACCCAGAAAACTGTAGCCCTAAACCCTAAACCTTAAACCTAAAGAAGCAGTAATTACCCAAAGAATTCCGAGGTAAACCCTAAACCCACCAAGACCCCTGAAGGCCAGAACGGTGTGAAGTCCATCCTCGCCCGCGGCCTCCAGTGTCCTGATGCTGTTCTGTGGGTTTAGGGTTCAGGGTTTAGGTTTTACGGTTTAGGGTTCAGGGTTTAGGGTTTCGGGTTTAGAGTTTAGGGTTTAGGGTTTAGGCATTTCCGGTCTTTTGGGGTTTGGGGTCAGCTCGGTTTTGAGCTTCAGGGCCGGTGAGACTTCGGTGTTTAGAAAGGGTGAAGTAGGATTCTGCTGTGCGGGGTTGGAGTTCGCGGGTTTCCAAGAGGATGCAAGAGGCGCGGCCAGCGTGCGGTGTCATTCTGCTCGCAACATGCGGGGCCCATGTTTAGGGTTTAGGGTTTAGGGTTTTAGGGTTTTGAGGGTTTAGGGTTTAGGGTTGGCTTTAGGTTCCACAAGCAGTCCAGACGCAAAAAACAAAAAGTCCATCAGCGTCCATGTCCAGGTTTTCAAACTGTAGGTAAAGAGGGTCCCAGAAGGGTTTGGGGTCTAGGGTTTAGGGTTTAGGGTTTAGGGGGTTTAGGTTCCGCAAGCCTTGAATCCTCCGAGGAGGTTCCTCCGCGTGCGGCTGGGAGTGTCGCGGCCGCCAAAGAGCGGAGGGCGTGATGCCATCGTGGGCCACGTCCTCGGTCGCCAGACTGCAAGCCATGGGTGAAAACTACAGGGTTTCGGGTTTAGGGTTGTAAGCCCTACGGTAAGCCCCAAAAGCCTAACCTGGGATTGCGCTGCTTCGTCCACGGTGAAGCCTCAGGGATGTAGAAGATTTGGGGCTGCGGCGTGGGATGTGGGACAACCCCCTAATAGCCCTAAACCCTAAACCCCTTTTGGGAAGATGGGGCATGGGCAGGCAAGTTCCGCCACGAGGAGCTGGAGCTGTCGAAGGAAGCCTTAGGCTGGCTGGCTTAGGGTTTAGGGTTTAGGGTTTAGGGTTTAGGGTTTAGGGTTTAGGGTTTAGGGTTTAGGGTTAAGTGAACCTTGCCCTCATCCTCCGGATGAAACAAACACGAAATCCCTTTCCCCTAAAACCCCCCGATAACACCCGGGGCTTCGCTTCAACAGCCTGCAGCATAGCTGCGAATTTCAGGTTTGAATTCTGGTCAGTGAGGGTGAGTCCGGTTTCCTTCACAAAAAACCTTTTTAAAAAAACCAAACACTTCCTTCATTCGAGGTCAAACTAAACACTTACGAGCTCCAGGTGTTGTAGCAAGTCCGGAACACGTGGGTTTCTTTGGAGCAGTTCAAGACGACCCAGGCCGAGCATCGGTGGCCATCGAGGACTTGGCTGATGGCGTCTCCTGGGACAATGTCATGAACAAGTTCAACCGGCCCGTGATGCCTGTCGTGTTGAACTTCTAAAGTCTGAAACCCAATAAACTGCTACACTCTACACCCGAAGTGGGTAAACCCTAAACCCTAAATGGCTAAACCCTAAACCAGAACAACCCAGGACTGCCCTGGCATGACGGCTGAGATGGGGCGTTGGGGCTGTGAATTGGGGTTTAGGGTTGGGGGTAGGGGGTGGGGAGGGAAGCCTTGCAAAGCCGCGACCCTGCTGGTGTTGTTGAGTTTATTGGCAGTGGTATCGTGAGCTCTTGTCCAAGAGCCCGAAACCTCCAACCCAGTGTACACCTTGGGTTCAACGTGCCAATGCATCAAGAGTTGCGCGGCCCTCAATGATGCCTGGCACCATCCGAAGAGTGAAGATATGCGAAGCTGCTGAAATCAAGTAACGGAGACCCATAGCAAGTTTTTCAATGAGAGTTGTGTTGCTCTTCGGCAAGTAGGGCCTTTGCATCTTTGCATTGCAGAAGGATGACTTGTGCAGCTCGAGAAGCGTGGCAAACTCGAAGACACCTGAGCTCTAACACGCAGACCCCTAAACCCTAAACCCAAAACCCTAAACCCTAAACCCTAAACCCTAAACCCTAACCCTAAAACCCTAAACCCTAAACCCTAAACCCTAAACCCTAAGACTGATTTTCCCGCTTCAGCACTCGACCTCCCATTTTCAGCTCGATCCGAGACTTTCCGGGACACTTGTGCTGGCAGGCAACACAAAACGCGCTGGGGGCTTCAAAGCTTGAAGGATTAAAGGTAGGGTTTAGGGTTTAGGCTTTAGGGTTTGGGGCTTAATGGGTCGTAATTTGCGGGCCTGCGAAGGACGAATTTGTTCTATCAGATATTCAACATACCCCTTGCATACCCCTGAAAAGAAATGAAGGGGGTATGGTAAAATCCTTCTCCTTTTATAGGTTAAGGGGTATGGGTTTGGGTATGCTGGATTATTCTTAGAATCTTGCTTGAGGCCTCTTGTGCTTTGTTTGCGCCCTTGGGGATTTCCGAGCAAACCCCGGGATGCCAAAACATCCCTCCCTAGGCCGCCTGATCTTCACTGGGTTTGGGGTTTAGCGTTTAGGGTTTAGGGTTTAGGGAAAGGGGTGAAGGTGTTGGATTCACTGCCCTTCCAAGTTAGGGGGCTTGAACGTCCGGGAGTCCGTTCGTGAGTTCAATTGCCCAAGTTCGGCCCTGACCCAACCCCCGCAGCCCCAAAAGTCACCCGGCAAACGTGCTGCCGAGAAGCTGTTTACGCTGGCTCAAGCCATGAAGCCTTTGACCATGCATGCCCTCGGTAGAAGAAAGGATCGGGAATTGATGCGAATTGCATCCTGATACTGAACCCGAAGAGCCGGCACGAGAAATTTTAACAGAGGGGCATCTTCAAATCTGACAACAGCCACAAGCTAGGGTTGCGTGGCTTTCATGCCACTTGCTCAGCCCCACCTTTGTCTACAGTGCTGCTAAATTTGCGCCGCCAAATCCTTACAAAGAGCTGGTTGAAAGCCACGGCACGGAAACTAAGCGAGAAATGTTCAAGTCTATGGCCTGCCAGTGGGCCTTAAGAGACAGTCTGCAAACTCTAAACTTTTGCCAAGTGCAATTTGCCCAACGGGCGGCCACGGTTGCCGTATACAATGGCGGCCGCTTGCTTGCACCATATGCCTGGAACTCTACTTACCTACGGAGTTTAGGAGACGCTGCCCCTCAATTAGTAGGTTTAGGGTGTAGGGTTTAGAATTAGTATTACCCAGCAAAACTGTAGGTAAGGAGGGTCCCAGGTAGCGAGTCATGTGCTTCTCTACGTTGATTTGTTTGTTGGGGCTCCGGGCTTGACAACGCTTTGGTTTTGTGAAGCAGAGTGCCTGTGCCGAGATGAAGAGCAGATGAAGCAGGGGCGGTTGACAAGAGAGAGGGGTTCCGATGTCGACCCATGACCCTGCAGAAGTCATGGATTACGGAGTAATATGGAGGACATGTGGCCCCCAGCCGAATGAGAGTTGTTGGTCTCTTGAGGAAAGGGGTACGCAGGTCATGCAGTGGCGGACCTCGAGGCTCAACCTTTCTGAAACCCCCATAAGACCCTACCTGGAACTCTATCTACCTACAGTTTACTAGCAATTGCCCTTAAGTAGCCAGTATAACCCATAAAACTGCAGGTCAAGAGGGTTCCAGGCTTACCCACGTCCCTGAGAGAAGCTCCCTTATAAACCTGGGACCCTCTTTACCTACAGTTTTAAGGGGTTATACCTACTAGTTATGGGCACCTTGCTACTAAACTAAACTGCAGAGAAAGAGAGTCCAGGAAGCTCTCTGACTCTCAAGCCCATCTCCAAGGAAATCTAAGCAACCCCCCGGCACAGAAGCGTTACTCTTTACCCCTTTTTTTTTGGGTTCTGGGTTCCCGGTATGAAGTAACCAACCCAAGAAAATAAGGTGCCCTAAAATTCTCATATGGTTTCTGTGCTACCAAGATGCTGGGCAAGCCGCCCTACCCCAACGCGAACTTCAGCGTCCTGGCACAGCGCGACGGGGCGGACGATGCTTGGGCTTTGGCACCCCTAAACCCTAAACCCTTGCGACACGGGTGGGAAAACACCCTAAACCCTCGTCCGCTTCATGTCCTGAGGCCTCCGGGCAATCAGAAAACCCTACTTTTCTTGCTTTGTTTGTTCTACGTGGGACCCTCTTTACCAACAGTCTGTTGGTTATTCCTACTTATTAAGGGTAATTACTATTAAACTGTAAGTAAAGAGAGAGTCCCAGGTAGAGTTGCTGTTGCAAATGTTATGTGCTTGCTGGGATGGTTTAACAGGAGGCTCACGGCCCCCTCACGACCCCATTCTTTCGGGTCCTCTGCAGGATTTACGTAATCCCCTTAGAGCCAAGGAAGAGTACTCCTACTCCGATGAGCCCCTTGGCTGCACAAGAGTTGCAACTTGCATCCCCGACAGGGGCCATGGCTGCTGCTGGCTTCCTGTACAGACGAGTGGTTTCGGACGCTTCCTGCAAGACTGTGTGGCGCTTGGTCCGAGAATCGTGGGAACTTGCAACGCCCCAGCGCGGGAGTTGGGACGTACGAAGACACTCCCGTGCCTTGCATGCTGTGGGGCATCGGCCCTCAATTCCCAACTTTCCCGAGTTTGGTTCTCTGGGGTTAGTTCAAGGCATCCCCTACCCCTTGTGTTACAGGCTCACAGGCAGGACCTCTCTAAGCCTCAGATGCAATGAACGAACCCATCCTGAGACGCCTCACAGGTACGAGCCCCGTCGCCTGCCAGCAAACAGCTATGTTTGCTTTCGTCTGGTTCGGGGCATAGGTATATGTGTATATATATATATACATATGTCTGTAGAGGTCAGGACTGTTTGCCCCAGCTCACCTAGAAGGATCGTAATCCAGGACGATGCAATCGAGATGACCCGTGAATTCCATAGGAATAGCGGATGGCTTCTTGGTTGTCTGAGGAGAAAACGTGGCTTTGCCGTGGGCTGCCATTGATCTCATGAGGAAATGACAAAACTTCTTCTGTTTCTTGCAACTGGTGAAAGTCGGACCTTGCAAGGAAGAGACAGAATGAAAGGGGTTGAATAGGTGCAACCTAGGGTCAACGCTACAAAGCCGAACTTGCGCCCCTCTTAGCATGTGGGCCATTGCACGTAAAGTACCCAGATTCAGAGCGTTCCTTATTCCTACCAGCGCAGTGCGTCCATGTGAGGGCGGTGTAGCTTCTACACTATCATGACGTCGTTTGGTGCGGCTAAGCCAGCCCAACTCCATGTGTCCTCCATCGACTCAGTGAACGTGCTGAACCCTCATCAGCAGCCGAACAAGCCTTTAGAGCCTCAAGCCCTATAGCTCTATACACCCAAACCTTCATACCTCCTAAACCCTAAACTGCCCGAAACCCTTACAGCAAGACCGTGCCTCGCTTGGCGTGTCCGAGGGTGAGCGATGAAACCCTAAACCCTAAACCTGAACCGCCTAAACCCTAAACCCTAAACCCTAAACCCTAAACCCTAAACCCTAAACCCTAAACCCTAAACCCTAAACCCTAAACCCTAAACCGTAACAACCAAACCCTCAAAGGATCCCGCAGCCGGCCGAACCGCTGGCAGCTTGCGGGTCTCTGCCTTTGCTGCCTAGGGGTCATTGTGCTGCCGATTCTCGCGTGCCCTGGGCCAGGTATTCATGGATTGTTGTGGTTTAGGGTTTCTGGGCTTATAGGGGTTTATAGGGTTTATAGGGTTTAATTAGGGTTTGATTAGGATTTATAGGGTTTATAGGGTTTATAGGGTTTAGGGTGGTTGTTGAAACTGTTGGCTGTGGATTGGATGCTGTGTCGTTTCGGGGCACACCACGGGAACATCAAGCTATTTCGGATGCTGCGTGCTTCAGATATCAGAGGGTTTAGGGTTTAGGGTTTAGGGTTTAGGGTTTAGGGTTTAGCTTCTTGCAGGGTAGCACCAGTCAAGCTTGAACCCTCAAATGCCAAGCGGGAGTGATCTTTTAGGCCCTTGGTGCCTTAACGGTATAGACTCTCACAAAGTCAAGAAGTCCGCGAATGAAGGAAGTGCGAGGGTTGCATTTCTGCGGATGAAGTGGATTTCCAACACACAAAGCTTTCACAATCCTCGTAATTACACTCGTTAGTGTAGGAAGGGAGGGTACAAGTTCACCAATACTCACCACTTGTGGCAAAGTCGTTTTCTTGAGCCACCGTGTAGATGGTTGAGAGGTTCTGCTTCTTCCTTTGCAGAAGACTGCGTGCCAGAATGTACCAAATATACCCAATGCCTAGCCTGTTGCGCCGAAGAACCAGTTGGGAATTTTGTGAATGTCGCCTGCATCTAGAGATTGTACCCCCCTTTGGGGGAAAGAGAGGAGTTACTTCACTTGCTGTCATTTATGTTAATGAAAGGGCTTTGGGGAATGCTGTGGAGATTCTAGGCCTGGCCTACAGGGATTATTTATCTTCAGTTGAGTAGCAATTGCCCTATTTAGGACTGTATAACCACAATTACCCTTAGCGAGCACTGTATAACCCATAAACCCATAAAAAGCTGTAGGCAAAGAGGTTCCCCAGGTACAGAGAAGACCGCCCACCCCCCCCCCCTCCCCTCCACCCCCCAAAAGGGCCTCGTACTTCGTCAACTCCTGCCCTAAACCCTAAACCCTAAACCCTAAACCCTAAACCCTAAACCCTAAACCCTAAACCCCCAAAAGGGCCTCGTTCTTCGTCAACTCCTGGGCGCAAGATGCCATGGAAGCCTCGGGCTTCCAAACCTTTGGAGACCCTGGGGCTGCAAACGCTGGGCACAGGTTTGGGGTTTAGGGTTTAGAGTTTAGGGTTGTTGGTCTTCTTGGGGTCTTTTGTTTTGCATGTCTGTGACGTTTGCTCGGGTGTGTGCGAGGGAGCGGGGGGAGGAAGAGAGAGAGAGGGGGCCCTAAAGCGCGCAGAAAAGGAAGAAGAAGAAGGCGGGAGAGAGAGAGAGAGAGAGAGAGCGGCTCCTCCGGGGGTTACGCGTGCAGGAAGGAAAGAAGGAAGGAAAGAGAGAGAGAGAGAGCGACAAAACAAAACAACCACAAAAACGGATCGAACGAAGAGGAAGAAGCAGAAAAAGAAGAAGAGCGCCTGGTGACCGAAGAATATTGCGCCGAGGATTCTCCGGGTTCGGGCTTCGCAGGCGTTGCAAGAACGGTTGCAGGGGGTACATGAGTTCCGGGAAATGATCGGTCGGCTCATGTTCCAGTCTGGGTACCTGGGCCCTGGGAACAGCCCCACAACTCCCTGATCCAGGTCACCACCACGGTGTCTTCTGTAGACATCTCCCTGATAAGTGCGCGGTGGGGCTTCGGCGATCTGGAAGTGGCCAGCCCAGCGGGTTATGGCCGCAGTCTCAGTTGTGCGGAGGTGCTGGTGCTTTGGTCGTGCAAGTAATTACTTGGCAGCCCGGTGGTGCCCGTTTAGCCCTGTTTTGTTTGGTTCTGGGAACCCTTATAACGTACATATAAAGTAACCAACCCCAAAAAGGGTGCCCTTCTTATGAGATGGTTACTGCAAGTAGTGAAGAAGACGGCCACAAGCCCGGAAGCGGAGGCAGGCTGGGCATGCTGCATGCTCAGACCCCTACTGTAGGGGTTGCCAGAAGGGGGTTTAGGCTTTAGGGTTCAGCGTTTAGGGTTTAGGGTTCAGGGTTGAGAGGTCGAGCAAAACGAATGTGAGGTGACCACAACTTCATGAGCATCGGCAGCGGCGTTTTCGACATAGGCTCCTGTGCCTCTACAGGGACGGACCGCAAGCTCCCAAAGCCACCCCCCCCCAAGCCTTGTGAGTAACCCTAAACCCTATAGCCCTAAACCCTAAACCCTAAACCCACCTCAACGAGCTTGTGGTCTCAGGGATCCGATCCCTCTTCATCTCCCCGCTGAACATCCAAGAGCTATCTTTGACAGACGTACAGGTCAACATTGTTGCTTGGAAGCACTTAGGCCTACGGGAGTTCAGCTCCAACCTTTCCTTTCGCATGGGTGGCGTGGTTTCGGGTATGGCTTACAACTGTCCTGCCGCCCAGTCCTTGAACAAGATTTGCCTCCCTTTTTGCTGGGCTTCCTTGCAGGATCAGCGCGTGGATGGCACCTCCAACGCCAAGTTCATCATGGACAGCCTTTCACTGGTTTTTTGGGGGTAGTTCTTGCGCATCCCAAACCTCACGAGACATGGATCCAAGAGGTGGGTGCGTGGTTATCGAAATTCGCAGGTACCTTAGTAGGTGAGTAGGTAACCTTTACCCGTTTGGGGTATATCTAATCCTACCAGAATTGCAAGGTTAGCCTTTTTTGGCCCAGGGTACTCAGCAACCAGTGGTACCCTGACTCTCTTTGCGTGTTGTGTTCTTGGAATGTGAGATCCAGCAAACCCTAAACCCTAAACCCTCTTGGGGGTCGCCAGGAGCACATCCACAAGGTCTCGGGTTCTGCAGCAAGCAAGCGGCCACTTGACATTACCTGACTTAGGGTTTAGGGTTTAGGGTTTAGGGTTTAGGGTTTAGGGTTTACGAAGAGGGAATTCGGCGTTTTTTTTTGGTCGGTGCCTTGTGTCCATGATCTCAAGCCTATCCCCTATGGGGTTTCAATGTCCTAAGGTCCTAAACCCTAAACCCTAAACCCCGCAGATTTAAACTCCTACAGCTTGAAAGTGTCAGGGAGAAGGGGGGAAGTTTTGGAGCTCAAAAGGCGGGGCCCGTGGCCTCGGATCTTAGTGCCCAGAACCCCACACTCCAACAACGAATTGCTTAAGGACCCCCCCCCCCCCCCCCAAAAAAAAAAAAAAAAAATCAAGATATTCTTCCTTGGGTAATATAGGGATCATTGTTAATTGTAGGGGTTATTAAGCAAGCAGAAGCTAATCGGCTGCCATGATCATGTCGAAGCCTGCGGTCCTCGTCAGCCGGTCGTGTCCGAGAGTGAGACCCTGTGAGATTATACCTGGGGCGCTGCTTCCTGTCCCTACAGTATAGTAGCAACTACCCATCGTTAGAAGGTATAACCCATAAAACTGTGGGTAAAGAGGGCGTCAGGTAGAGACTCACTAAACCCAAAGGTCCTGAATCCCAGCTGTCAAACTTCCGGCACTGGCACCTAGGTTTAACGAGGCCCTGATGAACAAGAAGGCCTGCAAATGACGATTTGCCCGGCAAGTTGAAAGCTGTCGCAGTTGCTGATCCGTCTTCTGTCAAAGACGTTCTGCATCCAGTGTTGCACAGGTGACTGTAGACAAGATCACCTTCAGCAACATCGTCACGCGGCTCTGTCTTCACCCTTCCTGTGAGATGTCGCCGCCACCCTACTTTGTCATCAAGCAGGTGGAGGCACTCCATCACGTCTTCTCGACTTCACCTCTGCCCATGCACCCCTTGTGAGACATGTGCATGTGAGCTATGTCGCTTGAGATTCTGGAGCAGGTGAATGATGTGGGCAAGAGGACCGGTGGAGTGTATGTTCCAGACCTTCTTGATGTCATCGCAGCTTGGCACAGTAGTGTGCTCAATGCTAGCATCCTGGAGACTATGGACCGTTGCCTCTGATCTCTTATCATGTCTATCGTTCAACGATTCGTTTCAAGTTCCTTTGTGGTCCTCACGGTCGCCCCACCGCTCGCCTGCTCCATCGTTCCTCAACATGAGCATACCTGATGCTCTGGCTGGTATTGTTTGTAGCTTCTTGTGCGTTTGCAGAGCCGCCTTTTCAGGCTCGGCCCCAAGTCCTGCAAGCCCTAGCCCCAAACCCTAAACCCGCAGGAGGGACAAAAATCACCCGAAAACCCAGTGACAGTCGCCCTAAACCCTAAACCCCAAACCCTAAACCCGCAGGAGGGCAAACCCAAAAACCCTGAAACCCAGTCAAGACCAACGCAAGAGAAGGTCCGAGCGGTGGTGATCGCGGCCATCAAGGCCGCCCCCCATCAGCTGGGAAGCCCACTGGCGGAGAGCTTGGGCGCAGGCGCGGGGATGAGGGTTTAGGGTTTGGGGTTTAGGGTGTAGGGTTTAGGGTTTAGGGTCAGTTTCGCCTGTTGATGCGACCCTTGCTAAAGGCAAGAAGGCCCTGCTTTCAGGTGTTGCCGGCAGCCTCAGTCCGTGCTTAAAAAGGGTCAGTCAGCAAGTCCAGCTTCAAGTATGGGTTCTAGCCGAGTGTTTCTGAGGGCCTTTGTCCAGCTGGGACTCCTTGCATTCCAAACCCTCGGCAGACCTCGTCATGAATATTCCAGTGGTTGCATGTTTTGTTCCCAGGACCTCGCCAACTTCTGCCAAGCACCCCCCAAGAACCCCGCAGCACCCCCAAGCAGATGGCTCAACTCGAAGCCCTCTTGGCGTGGGGGGGGGGGGGGGGGTTCGTGAGGTTCTGGGATGCAGTGTGCTGCTTGTCTCAGGATTTTTTGAAGCTCTCGAGAGTGATCCCAAACCCTGAAGCCGAAACATGCATCCTAGTGAAGGACTTCTGCAAGCGCTGGACTACGCACAGCTGCATTACGACGCCTGCTTACGTAGGGGGGGGGTGGGGGGGAGGGGGGTTCACTGAAGGGTTGGGTCATTGAGGCATTTGGCACTAACTATGTGTTCATGTTTTTTTGAGGCCTTCGCCGACTTTAATTAACTTTAACTTTAATAATAATTTAATCGTTTAGCCAGCCTTGGGTCCGGTGCGTGGGAGGACTCCCGTCGTGCCTGCAAAGTCGGGATTGAGTGTTCTTAACCCATGGTGCACAGGCGGTTTCGGCCGTTCCGGGTTTTGCGTAACAGGATGTGGAGGGTGTCATTTTTATTCGCGAACGGAGGCCTAAGAGTTCTATACTCTGAAGCAAGAATCCCGAACGTGCCAACCTCGACCCAGATCCCCTAAGCCCCATGGGCGATGCAGAGGGTGGCGTAGGACGTGCTGTGACGGCTTTGCATGAGACTTCACCGGCTATGACATGCCAGCTTGACGTCCACCGCCTCGACAACCAAAGGCTGCTGTCTTAGAGCATGTCCCCAGAACGTACTGCGCAGGGGCATGTTTTATGAGCCCTCAAGCTTGAGAACTTTCACTTGCAGGCCTCTTCCCAGGCAACACTGGGCAGCAAAACCCCAAACACCAAACCCACAGTCACCAAGCCCTGAAGCCCACCGAAATCGTGATAAACTCGAAGGCCTCTGTAGCCCCAAGCTAGGATTTGCTTGAGAACCCCCCCCCCCCTACCCCCAAAAAAAATACGAGATGAGGATATATTATCATGGGTTTTTGTGTGGGGGGGTTCTTAGGCAAATAGTAGCTAAAGAGCCCTCTCACCGTGGAGCCATCATGGCGCCCAAGCTTGGCGGATGGAGCGACTTCTTCGCCCCCGCCAGGGACCAGGGGTTCGAATCTTGGTCTTTTGCCTTATCTGGGACTCCCAAACCCTACAAGTTAGTAGGTTGCAATACCCGATATTTGATAGAATATAGGGTGTAACCCCCGCAAGAATGCAGGTAAAGGGAGGCCCCAAACCCCCTTCATTTTGGGTGGAACCTGCAGAGGGTACATGGAGGTCCAGGCACAAGCTTTCAAGGGACGCAAGGGGCTGTCCTATAAGCCTTGAGCTGATTCGGATCCTCCCATCCTCTTGCATCAAGCTTCTGACGTCCGAGTCCCCGAACCCTCTGGGGTGCCGGACACCCCTAAGCCTTCTTCCCTGCACCTGAAGTATATGAGAGCCCCGCAAGATCCCGAAGCCCCCCTCCAAAAACACAAAAGAAAAACCCTAAAACCTCCCCGAACGCGCGAAAAAAGGCGCACGACCGCCACCCTGAGAGGATCTCAACTCGGCTCTGCCGGCCGTCCTCCGAGCTCTGGAGGGGGAGCGCGTGTCGGGAGGTGCCCGCCACGCTGTGCGAGTCGACCTGGGACTCGACTCACCTACAGTTTACTAGTTACTATTAGGGTTGAGGGTTTAGGGTTTAGGGTTTAGGGTTCAGTTAGTGCTGTCAGCTCGGAGAGCGATAGCCTGATCCAGGCGAGGACTCACGCAAGCCTTCTGCAAAAGGGTTTAGGGTTTAGGGTCAGGGATACCCTATACCCCCTCTCCCCCTCCCTCCCCCCGAAGAAAAGAAAACAAGCAAAGAAACCCGCACTGCACACGCCAACCCAACTTGAACGCTTTAGGGGCGTTTGGGGGGGGGGGGAACGAAACAAGGCGCGGACCACTACTACGTTTACCCCAAAAGAATAAAAACTAATCACCCCTATATGAACCTTCAGATGGAAGATCATGTTTTTCTGGGTTCTTCCCCAAAAGAATAACAAATAAGAACCCCTACAGTAACCTCACCCTAAACCCTAAACCCGAAACCCTAAACCCTAAACCCTAAACCCTAAACCCTAAACCCTAAACCCTAAACCCTAAACCCTAAACCCTAAACCCTAAACCCTAAACCCTAACCCTAAACCCTGTGGACTGGTGCAAAGCAGGTTCGGCGGCAAGCTTCGAGGCCCTGGCCAGCGTGCCCAAGCTGCGCTGGCGGGGTTTGAACATTAGGCTTAGGGTTTAGGGTTTAGGGTTTAGGGTTTAGGGTTTAGGGTTTAGGGTTTAGGGTTTAGGGTTTAGGGTTTAGGGTTTAGGGTTACCAAGAGGTTGCTCGTGGATTCCGATGACGGGGCTTGTAGGGTAGTTTAAGATGTCGAGGATTTAGGGTTGAGACAGCTTTCCGGGCCTGATGGGAATTGTCTGCTTCGATTCCTTGCGTGGTCTCGGCGACTGCTCCCTGCTATACTTCTTTGCGTGTTCTGGTGGCTTCAGCCTGTCAGGGCCAACCGTGCAAACACACCATATCGACCTCAGAGACCGAAACAGGAGTAGCTGCAGGTTGTCTTATCGGGTTTGGTGGGTTTTAAGGCGTCGCGATGTGGCTAACAAAGCCCAAATCCCCCCCAAAACAACTCCCCTTAACACCCCACCCTGAATCCTAAACCCTAAACCCTAAACCCTAAACCCTGAACCCTCACACCGCCGAGGCCATTTCTTCGGCGCTCGCGCCTTCTCAAACCAAGCCGACCCGGCTCCTCCTGGCTGTGCCTCGGAATTAATCTCGGGGTCGGTTTGGGGTTTAGGGTTTAGGGTTTAGGGTTTAGGGTTTAGGGTTTTGGGTTGGAATAGTTACCAATATTCCCTTAGGGTCCCTATTTTACGTAGATTGTAACAACCCCCTCCCCCCCCAAGAAGAAGAAGAAAACAAAGAAAGAACCTACCATTCTAATGATGAAGCATCAAAGCATCAGGAGTCGGCTCTCTTGGCTGCGCTGGACATGCAGCTTCTCAGAATGCATCATGATCATCAGTGTGATGGTGCGTGGCTCACGCGATCTCCTTGTTCCTGCAAGAAAGCTCCGCGGTTCAGTCTTTGCGCAGTCCTAATTCCCTTTTTACCTACAGCTACTCTAGGAAAGGTAATTTCTGGAACTCTGATAAACCAACAACACACCCCTGCCAGCAGGTTTCCAGCAGAGATGGAGGCACCGTTGCGGAGTGATCTGGTGGTGCGGAGCGTCAGCGCCCAGCTCTAGAAGATGTGTTTAGAGCTTTGGGGTCTCACATGTTCTGTGCGGCTAGGCAGGAATCCTTTCCATCAGAAAGCACAGGCGGCTTTATTGAAAGCCTTATAAGCCCAGGCTCAGGAGGGCTACGAAGTTATTTCTCGATTGAGGATGGTCTGCCTGACAGATTCCGAGGTAGCTGCGTGTCCTCACGCTGGCCATTAGTGGCAGGACTGGCTGTGAGGCGGGACCACCAGCGTTTGGGGGACTTAGCAAGAGGCTCACCAGTACAACATGCCCACACCCCTCCGATACCCAAGCCGTGCACCCTCCCACCGAGCCCAACATCCAGTGACACCAAAGCCAAGACAGCCCGTCGCTGCATGCATAGTCGCCTCGACATGATATCCAGACCTTGACGGCAGACATCCTGAAGCCCCAACAACTCGCCCAAGCCGTCGACACCCACGAAGCATCAGCGAAGCTGAGTAATTAGCAGAGCAGACCTGCCGTCCTGGGAAGCTGGGAATGGATGGACCTGTGAAGGATGGCAGAGTTGTTTAAACTGGGCTTCGTTTCGACGTCTTTTTTCGGACAGGGCACAGGCCGTGGCTTAACCCCAACGGACAAACTGAAGCTCTTGGCACCCCCAACGGGTGCAAGGCCCAGGTCGCCTCAGCCCCCCAAACGCCATGCCCGGAAGGTGCCTTTGTGCCCTGGCCGTCGCCAGCGCCGCCCACCATGGGACCAAGGCCTTGCAGGGAGAGTGTCATGGTGGGTCTTTGATATGTCGGCGCACTGGAGTCATGAGGAGTGTGGGGCTTTGCATCTTGGCTGGGCCTGCAAGGGTTATAGCTCTCTCTTATCCAGACATCCGTAAAAGAGAAGATCATGCAGCTGCGAGGAGGACCGAATGGAGAAGCAAACGTGGACGCGCAGGGTCGTGCCGCAGCTGCGGACCGTGCTCGAGGCGCACCCCAAGTCCTTTCAAGTGCAGCAGCTCGTCGCCGAGGGCTGCTGTGTCCTCCTGCTGAAAGGGAACGTCAACCTGGGAGGGCTCTCTGCTTTGTGGGCCTTACTGTGGCCTCTGGTGGTACATCCCCGGCAGCAGGTGGCTTCAGCTGCTGGTCTAGCGCTTTGCCGTCTTACCTGGCTGCTCCGGGCTGGGGCCGACCCTGCGGGTCAGGCAGAGGGGCAAGTGGCCACAGCCGAGCGGGCCATGGAAACCGCGTGCACGGAGGTTTCGAGCATCTTCACCACTTCGGTGGCCCCGCGCCTCACGGATCCTGCCACGCACATCGCCAGCTTGCAGATTGTCCGCCTCTTGGAGCTTCTGCGGGCGCTGGTGCTGTACAGCCGCAGCAAGCCTGCCGATACCCCGGCCACTGGACCCTTTTTGGTGCAAGCTCACTCTTTGTAGACCCCACGCAGAAACGTAGATAAGCGTAGTAAGCCTGCACATGCAGCTACATCGAACCGCATGTGGCCTTCCAAGAACTGACCGAGGCTCGGCGTGACCGACGCGAGGGAGACGAAGCCTTGATCGTCCTACCGCAGGCAAAGATTCTGGGGATCATCGAGCTTCTCCTGACCTCGCTGACCCGCGAGACGGCGGTTGCCTCACAGGCCTTCGTGTACCTTTCTGTAGACAAAGGGTTAGACCATGGGTATTCGGACATTTCAGGGCAAGTGTGGTGGCCTTGAATAATGTCCAAGCTCTTTCGTGATCTTGGAGGCGTCTGTAGACCTGCTGACCCGTGCCCCCTCGACCGCTGCAGCCAAAGCTGCCGGGGGGAGGTGCTGCGTTCCGCCTCCACTCCCACAGGGCAGCTGGTGGGCAAGGCACTTGACCTGCTCTGCGCTGTCTTCGACGCTTCAGCATGAACTCCTAAAGAGGCGCAGACACCAACATCGGAACGGTACAGGGACGATGTAGCAACAATGACACTTACAAATCGGGAGCTGTAGCAAAGGGTAGAGTTGGAGGTCTTTGGTTTCTCGGAGTTAGGGAAGAAGGGTGCAAGTCCGGTAGTGGCAACGTGAATTCCGACCCTGTCTCTTGGGAATGAGGGGTTGTGATGGCTTGGGTTTATAGGGCCAATGGCTGTTTCAAATACAAAGCCTGCGCACATATACATCCACATTATATGATATAATATATATATACATAATGTATATGAAGATGTGTGTACTTTTTATAAAAGTATACACTATACTTTTTGTTCTAGCCTTGAGGATGTGTTGCGGCCACTTGTGCTCGGCTTGTGTAGCCGAGGATGTTTGTGGCACGGCGGCCTTGATGTTCTCTGCCCAGCTGCGCCGTTGGCTGGAACTGCTGACAGAGTGGCACCTGTGAGGCAGAATAACATTTCGACTTTTTTTTTTTGGGGGGGGGGGGGGGGGTAACTTGTGACTTTTTCTTGGCGGGGGGGGGGGGGGGGACTAGGGTAACGAATGTAAAATATTCTCACACAAGTACTGTGTGTGCTGTCGAAACGGGGGAGAAGCAGATCCAGGGAACTACCCCACAGAAGCTCCACTCTTGAGCACTTCCAGCGGCAACCCCGAAGCCGACATGCACCTTGATGCCCAGTCAGACCCAGTAAGGCTTGAAGCATCTTGCCCTGTGACTCTAAACCCTTGGTAGCCCAGTGGTACCCATACCCTTTTCCTTCTTTTTTTGGTTCAAGGTTCCCTTACAAACTACCCAACCCAAAAAAGGGTGCCCTTAATATAATGTGGTTACTGGGTTACTAATATAAGAACCCCAAAACGGAAATCAGAGCTGACAGATGATTGGGGCGAACCCGGACAGAATCCTTGCCATTGCCTGCTTGTGCGAGTGCGAGAGTCGAAACCCCAAAGCCCAAAGCCCAAACCGCCAACCCTCAACCCTCAACCCTCAACCCTAAACCCTAAACCCTAAACCCCAAACCCCAAACCCCAAACCCCAACCCTAAACCCTAAACCCTAAACCCAAGTCGCGACTTCCCAGGTCTCCAAAGACCTACGTCGCCCATACCAGGGTGGTCCTTGGCTGGGTTCTCAGCCTTGACAGGACGGGAACCCTAAACCCCAAACCCCGATAGGTTTAGGGCCTAGGGTTTAGGGTTTAGGGTTTAGGGTTTAGGGTTTAGGGTTTAGGGTTTAGGGTTTAGGGGTTCAGAGCAAGAGCAAGTTGCGCAACAAAAAGGGCTCAGCATCTGGGGGTCAGAGGGTCCTGGAGCCAAGAGGGGCTCCGATGGTTTTTATCCCTCGGAGAGGCTTGCGGGTTGTCATGGGCTTCTGGGTTTAGGGTTTAAGGTTTAGGGTTGAGGGCTTGCACAAGACATCGTTGGTGCCGCCGTGCATTGAAAGCAAATATATTTCTGCATGGGTTGCAGCGCCCTTTAGGGCAGCAGAAGTTCAGAGGTCTGCCCTTGAGAAGTCCGTGCAGTTCGTAGGGGGAGATTAACCCTAAACCCTAACCCTAAACCCTAAACCCTAAACCCTGAACCCTAAATATATCTGTCCAAGGACAATGGTCGGAGGGTGTCTGATCCCATCCTATGGCTGCTGCTAGCTCCTAGAAGTATGTGTTCGGTGCATTGCAAATAGGACTTCGCGGACATGTCTTGTGAGCCTTGAGTTTAGGGTTTAGGATTTCCAAGTCCAGGCTGTGGTTAGTGGTGTGACGACCCGCTGCAGAACGCCTTAAAAGGGTATTCCTGCGTTCCGTTTAAGACCAGTAAACCTTCCAAAAGGACCGCCCCAGCCATCCTCTTGCGGCGGCCACTTCTGCAGCGACTCTGCCGCTACTCACTCGAGGCAGAGTTTAGGGTTTAGGATTTAGGATTTAGGGTTTAGGGTTTAGGGTTTAGGATTTAGGATTTAGGATTTGGGGTGTAGGGTTTAAGGTTTAGGGTCTGCATTTGCTTTGCAAGCTCGGGCTTCCGGCGAATAGAGGTGTCGCCCATGACAAACGAATTGCTGGTGCCTTGTCTTCAGGTGCGCCGCAAGCTAGGCCACACATGTGGATGCACATAGGACATGGGTGTATACAAGTATACAAATCTGTAAATACATGTAAATACATATCTGCACACACACACACACACACACACACGTGGTGCGGGTTTGCATGTCTGTGTGCGTGCGTGCCTCGTGCGTGCGTGTGGGTTTGCGTTTGTGGTTGCATGTGTGCGCGCCCGTGCGTGTGTCATCCCGATCAATAAACCTAAACTGCAGCACCTCAGACACAACAAACCCGGTGTCATGTGCGCTAGGTACGTGCGTTCTAGGGAAAACCGGGATTTCACCTGGTGTGGGGATTGCCCGGTGTGGAGGTGTCTAGAGTGCCGCCGGTTGTTGCTACGAAAAGACAGTAGGGAAAGACCCTGCCCCATTTTTCTGGGCAAAACAGTGCCCCACGAATGACTGAACTGAAGTTCGTCCACTAGATACTCTACTAGGAGGCCGGCATAGCAGCTTCTTGGAGGCGACGATGCTATTGTACCCTCTAACCCCCTTAAGAAGGCCCTTTGTAGGGACTACAAGGCCTCATAGCCCATGCTGGCACAGGCCATGCAGCATGAGATCGGGCTGAGCGACCGTCCGAGCCAGAGTCCTACGAGCCAGAGCGCCCGCCCGCGGAAGCGCAAAGCCGAGGCTGCCCAGGATGCGGGCGACTTCAACCAGCCGCTGTCCCCTTGGTAGCCCAGTGGTACCCTTTACCCCTTTTTTTTGGGTTGTGGGTTCCCGTTTTAAATGACCAGCCCCAAAAACGGGTGCCCTTATTGTAAGATGGTTACTGGGCTACTATGTCCCTCATCCCTTGACCAGGCAAAGTTTGCTTCTCTCATGGTTCTTGGGGGTCTTTGAGAGTTCGAGGCAAACACTTTCGGATGAGCGAGCCGAGGTTTCCACTGGCGTGCCAGACGCTTGCGCGCCTGGTGGAGAGGGGGGCAGCCCTCCTTGAACCGCAGCTGGTGGCCAGCATCTGCGAGCAGGTCGTCCAAAAGCTCCGTAAATGCCGTAAGTCAGTTGGGCTGCCGTGCCCTCAATCCGAATTGCCTCAACTCCAAGACAGGCCATGGATTTTGTAAGCTAATTGGGCCACCGTGCCCTCAATTCGAATTGCCTCAACTCCAAGACAGGCCAACACCTTGTACCTGGGCAGGTCGTGCACACAGTTTGGCGCGGCCTCCTCCGCTCGCCAGCTGCGGTGGCTGGCAAGGAGCTGGACATGTGCCTGGTGTACAAGCAGGTCTGCCGAAGTCCCGAGGCTGCCATTGGGCTGTTGGAGGTGATGCGGGTGCTTATTGAGCCCCAGCAGCTCGGCTCAAAGCCACTGGCACCAAGTCTGCTCAACGCCTTTGCGGCCATCATCTCGACTTTGCAGGCGGTCTTCGAGAGGCATACGGCGCATGCCTTGCAAACAACGGACCCCGCACCCGGGGTCCGCGGCAAGCTCCTGGAGCTGGCGGATGCCATCCGCCAGGACAGTGTGCCACGACCTGCAGAGAGCAAAGGCATCTCCATCACTTGGGAGGCCGGTTCCGCTGAGCCGCAGGAAGCGGAGCAGGGTTTGGAAGGTACCCAGAAAGTGCAAGAGGTGGACGCCCGAGTCCCAATGTCAGAGCTACCTGGGCTAACGGCGAAATCCCTGGAGCCCGAGCCTGCAGAGCCTGCAGAGCCAGCAGAGGCGGGCGATGTGGGAGCCATGGATGTCGAGTCGCCAGAAGCTCTGACCCAAGAAGCCCAACTGGCACCTGAAACGGCCAGGGAGGAGCCAGAGGCGCTCCCAACAGACACCCTGCCGGACACCTTTCAGGACACTGTAGAGGACAGGGGAACATAATGTTCTTAAATGTTTACTACCCGCCTTAATTATAATCTCTATAATCCTCATAAAGCCAAAAAAAAGTTTTACTTTCCCTTTCTGATCCCTAGATAGTCCGTATAAGCGCCATAGCAATTATTCTTACTTGGCCCCGCAAACCCTAAACCCTAAACCCTAAACCCCAAACCCTAAACCCCAAACCCTAAACCCTAAACCCTAAACCCTAAACCCTAAACCTAATCCAGAGGAGCCCAGGATGCCGGAGGTGACTGGTGGGAAGGAGGACACCGAGGCCGCAGCGACTCTACCGCTGAGAGCGGGAGAGGAGGCAGGTCACAAGAAATGATAGGGTTTAGGGTTTCGGGTTTCGGGTTTAGGGTTTAGGGTTTCGGGTCGAAGTCTAAGGCGGCCTCATGCCCCAAAACAGGCGTCCCCGAATCGTCGCGCCAAATTATCCCCCCTTCTGGGGGCCTCCCAGAAGAAGGGGTGGCTGCACATTTGCCTGGCAGTGACAGCTCGAGCTGGTAACGCCAACCTTTGTTGAGTTTTTGTCTGAACAAGCCCAGACTTGAGCCCCGAACCTTCAAAAAACCCTGCGTCTTCCTGACCCTACCTTGGGATGTTCCCCCTTATACTCATAGTCCTTCATAGGTATTATAATAGGGAGTATTACAATCCCGAATTATTGAGGACTGTATAAGGGGCAACATCTCAAAACCTACCCCGTGCCCAGCCCAGCACCCCAAGCTATCATTTGCTTAAGAACCGCAGAAAAAAAACACAAAACATAGTAATTCCTTTTCTACCCTAGTAGGGAAGAATATGCTTTGTGTCTTTTAGAGGGGGTTCTTAAGCAAAGAGTAGAAAGAAGAGACGACCAACCGGCAGGCGCCTCGAAGCGAACTGGGCGAGGAGGCCTTCTCCACGCCGCTGAATGCACCGGCCGCCGACTTCCAGACCCCGCAGAACTCCGTGGAAGCTCAGGCATCTGAGGGTTTTGAGGTTTTTTTTTGTTTTTCCTTTTATGGGTTTGCTTGAAGGCAAGGATGTAAAAACAGGGTTCCGTTGGAGAGAGAGAGAGAGAGAGAGAGTCCGGAAGTCCACTTGGTGTTCCGTATGGTCAATAGAATTGCTGTGCTTCCGAAGCCAGGAGACAGAGAGCGGGTTCATGCTGCCAATGGTGGTCGGGGGAGCAACAGATGCAAAAAGAGGGAGAGCAATTTGCACGAGGCCGTGTGCCCTTAACCCGAAGAGCGATACAGAGAGCCTATTCCTGGAGCTCCAGAATCCCACGAAGAATCTCAAATTTGAACCTGAAAGTAACAATGCCGGAGCCCGCAAACGATGTACTGGTTTGGTTGAATCCGTCTCAGCTCGGATGCCGATTTCAGGCCGAAACCCCAAACCCAAACCTCTAAGTGGGCTGGCTAGGCGGGTGGCAAAGAAAAACAGACATGACGCCAAGTACTAGTGCCGCAAAAAGCTCGCCAGGCCTCTCGTGAGCCGCTTGCGGTACTTGTTGTTATTTGAGTGAGTACACCTTACACTTTTTGCGATACCATAAACCCCCTATGAAACTGAAAGTGTACACTTTTTTGGAGCTTATGAACTCAGCAACTAGGTGTACCTGCGACGTGTGGGTGTGAGAGGGGTGCGAACCTCAAACTTCCGATAGAACGAAGGGAGCTGAAGGTCGGAGCCCAGCTGTGTTGCAGTTTAGGGTTTAGGGTTTAGGGTTTAGGGTTTAGGGCTAGGGTTTAGGGTTAGCATTTAGGGCCAGTGGAGGTCTGGGTACATCACTTCTGGGCTAGAGGAGGTGTCCTGACAACTTAAGCTATGCAGCCTGGTGAGGTCCTCTGGGGGGTGGGTGAGCTGGTGTTTTCGTGAACTTGTTGTAGTTTAGGGTTTAGGCCGTGCTGAAACAGGGTTTAGGATGTAGGGTTCAGGGTTTGTAGGAGTTAGGGTTTAGGGTTTAGGGTGTAGGGTTTAGCGTTTAGCGTTTAGGGTTTTGTTGGTTTCGTCCTGCTTTCACGGTGGCCTCACATGGTAAGAAGATCCTGTCTTTTTCCGACAGCGCAAGGGCTTCAGATGTTTCGAGTCCCTGCAGACCCTAAACCCTAAACCCTAAACCCTAAACCCTAAACCCTAGGTGTGAGGCTGCTGGGCAGGTGCCAAAACAACCTAACTGACCGCAGAGTTGCAAGGCATCGTTTCCCGAGCCCGAGCCAGCTCTGTCACCTTCCGGCGGAGCCCCGCCTCCTGCCTGCGACGCCGCGCAGGAAATGGAGGCTACAAGGGTTTAGGGTTTAGGGTTTCGGGTTTGGGGTTTAGGGTTTAGGGTTTAGGGTTTATAGGGTTTAGGGTCGTGGCTCCAAAGCCCCCGCCACAACGGGTTAGGGTTTAATTAGGGTTGTTCTGAGGGTAGTTCCATGCGCCCTTTTTGTATGGTCCCTGACTTCCTCTACAGGGTTCTGAGGTATGTATGTGGGTATATAAGGGGCACAGGATTTGAGTCTAGGGTTGTCCGCGGGGTGAAGGAGGGTGGGTAGGATGTGGGGTGTAGGGTTTAGGGTTTAGAGTTTAGATGGATAAAGGGTTGAGAGTTTAAGGTTTAGGGGCAGATCGGCTGGGAGCTCGGTACCGGGTTCAAAAGGGGCAGAGCTGCCAGTTGCTCCAACCCACAAGACGTCCAGGGGGAGCAGCCGCCCCTCAAAGAGGCAACAGAAACCCGTAACCCCGATTACCTACACTAACTTAGTCATAGTTATCCCTTGAAGTAACAGGTACAACCCATCAAACTGTAGGTAATCGGGGTTGCGGAAAGATCTTTGGAGAATTCAGTGGTTTCTTTTTCAGTCTTGTAAAGCTGCTCAGTATTCTTACGTAGTCTGCAAACCATGTCTTCACCACTGCTATAGCTCATACCTGTAACCCCAATTACCTGCAGTTTATGGGCCATCCTTATGAATCAAGGGGTAATTACTACGAAGCTGTAGAGAATTGGGGCTACAGGTAAGTATAAGTGCTATGAAATATGTTCAGTGATAGTGGAGGTGGTTAGGGACGAGAAGCTCGAGCTCTTCCCGACTGGGGGATGCGCGGCACGCACAGCAGCCCGAAGATTGAGTTCTTTCGGGACATTAGGGTTTAGGGTTTGGGGTTTAGGGTTTAGGGTTTGGGGTATAGGGTTTAGGGGGTTTAGGGTAGGGGGTTTGCCAGTGCTTTCTTCTGCCAAGCCTTGCTACAAGAAGCAGAAGCCTGGACTGACACTGAGGGCAGGTTGTATGGGGCCCTAAACCCTAAACCCTAAACCCTAAACCCTTATCTGCCCAAAGCCCCATGAATTCACACCAGTCACACCAGTCGCCCTGGGCAGTCGTAGCCTTGAGGGAAGCCACCGGGGACCCCTTTCACCTACAGTTTAGTAGTAATTACCCTTAATTAGGAGAGTAGTAATTGCCCTTAAATAGTAGAGTAGGAATTACCTTGAATCAGTAGAGTAGTAGGAATTGCCCGTAATAAGTCGAGTAGTAAATTACCCTGAATTTGGTAGAGTAGTAACTACCCTTAACTAGTAGGTATGACAGGTAAAGACGGGTTTAGGGTTTAGGGTTTAGGGTTTAGGGCAGGGAAGTCTTGCACAGCAGAGGAAACGATTCGCCTTCACCCGACCTGTGCATGGACTCACCCAGCGATGAGAACTGAGCCCGCACACGTTGCAATGCCCGGACCTGCGACTGTAGCCTAAAGGGTCCTAAGTACCTATATGGGGGGACACTTACCCAAACCATAACAGTAATTCCTGTTTTAGAAACCCTACTTTCTGCTATGCAGGTACTCAGGACCCTTTGGGGACTGTAGGTCATGCCGACACTGCCCGGCCGTGCACGTATGGTATGCCTTGCATTGTGGGCAGATATTAGGCGATGTTTTGTATAGTTTACATTTACATACAGTTTTTGTTTGTGAAGATGTTGTAAGCAGTCATTTGGACATCGTGGAAGTGACCATGGGCTGTTAATGGAGTTCCCGAAGTTTGCCTTAGCATATTTCACATCTTGTCTTTGGCCTAGTGAAAAAATGCGCTGCGCAGTCCTGCGTGGAATTCCGTAGCCTCGGGAAGTGGCACGGACGTGGCCACAGTTTCTCACGCACACGCACGAGATGGCCGCAAAGATCCGCAAAGCAAAGAGCGTGCAGGCTGTCACCGCAGGGCCTAGAGTTCGGATTTTGGGATGTATCGGATGCTTAAGGGTGGGGCGGGGGGGGGGGGGTGGGGGTTTCAGCTCTAGAGCAAGGTAATAGCTTCCTTCACAGGCGGAGGGAATGGGGCTCCTAAATCCCGCGCTCGCGGCCCTGGGCTGTCTAAGGACCTTGGCGGTGGTATGGAGGCGGCGAGTGCGCAGATCGGCATCAGTGGCGGGTGCCAGAGCCACACTAAGCGGTGGACGCGGGTGTGGGTATTTGGGGGGGTTTACGAAAACAGGGGACCCCCAAAATGGACTCCCCAAATAGCAAGATTTTCTTATAAGGACCCCCATAAGGTACCCGTAATTCCGTAAGCCCCCCCTATGTTTGGATCGCAGAGTTTTCGGCAGCTGTAATGGGTATGTTGGGAACAGGGGTACCACCCCCGGGCCCTCTCAACAAACGGCACCATTTGCGAGCCCCAGAATGCTAACCTGTTAGTTGGGCCATTGTTGCAAACAATGCTCCTCGATATTCTCGTAGCAGCTTCCACCTCACGTGCCGATCTCGGGAGATATCAAGACACACACACACACACACACACACACACGCCCCTAAACCCTAAACCCTAAACCCCAAACCCCAAACCCTAAACCCTAAACCCCAAGAATCATGCGGACTGGCATACGCAGCTGAGGCTCCTCAGCCGGGGCACCGCGCAGTTGGGCAAAGGTCGACGCAGGGTTCGGGAAGGGTGCGTTTGAGTGTGTTCTGCAGCCCGGGGATGACCTCCGGAAGGGTGATTTTAGGGTTTACATAGGGTTTATGGGGTTTATGGGGTTATGGGGTTTATAGGGTTTTTGGGGTTTATAGGGTTTATAGGGTTTAGAGGGTTTGTAGGGTTTATGGGGTTCTTGGGGTTTATAGGGTTTATAGGGTTTATGGGGTTTATGGGGTTTATAGGGTTGATAGGGTTGCAGCATAGGCGCACCCCCCCCCCCCCCCCCCCCATGGTATCCTCCCCCCCCCCCCTGTGGTTCATGGTGGGTTTTGGGTTGCCCCTGTGGTTCATGGGTTGAGGGTTAGTTTAGGGGTTTAGGGTTAGGCTGTAGGGTTCAGGATTTTCACTCTGGTCCATTGGTTTAATGTGGTTTTAGAGTTTGATTAGGGTTCAAGGTTTGGGGTAATGATAGGTTTACGGTTTCCCCTCTCCCGTCTGTGGTTCGTGCTGGGTTTACGGTTGAGGGTTCAGGGTTAAAGCGGCAAAGTTAGAGGGTTTGCCCTTCTCCCTCCCGTCGTTCATTGGTGGGTTAAGTTTTAGGGCTTAGGGTCCAGGGTTTGGGGTTTAGGCTGAGGCTTCTCTGCCCCCGCCCCCCCCCCCCCCCCCCCCCCCCCGCGTGGTCCGTGGTGTTTTTAGGGTTAACAGGCAGGGTTTGGGGGGTTGCCATGGGGGGGGGGGGGGTCGATTACGCGGAACGCGGGCGCATATAGGGTTTATAGGGTTTATAGGGTTTATGGGGTTTATAGGGTTTATAGAGTTTATAGGGTGTGTAGGGTGTATAGGGTGTATGTGTGTAGGGTTTAGGGTTCGTTCCTGCACAGCAATCGAATGAGAAGCTGCACGCGTGAGCCAACCAGGCCTTCAGGAAGGTTCCCCCAGCCTGTTTGGGGATGTTTTGGACTTCGGGGAGTTGACTTCAGGGTCCCCCTAAACCCTAAACCCTGAACCCTGAAACCATAAACCCTAAACCCTAAACCCTAAACCCTAAACCCTAAACCTTGCATCGAGGGCCACTTGGTTCGGGCTCTTGGGCTGTGAGGCCCGCCCCCTCGCGAGTCTCATGAGAGTTGGGGCATGCTCCCCGACTAGAGGACCTCCTGACACACCATTCAAACTCACCAAGGAACCCCGCAAAAAGTTACCCCAAATGGGGGAAACTCCCCCACTCCATACACAGTTACCCTAAACCCTAAGCCCTAAACCCCAAACCCCAAACCCCAAACCCCAAACCCCAAACCCCAAACCCCAAACCTCAAACCCCAAACCCCAAACCCCAAACCCCAAACCCCCCCCCCCACTATACACACAGCTGCAGAGTGGAGCCTCTCGACTTCCCTTCGCGCTCCAGCAGGCGTTGCGAGCACGCTCCAGAAGTCGGAGCCCGACATGATCAAGGCAGGGTTTAGGGTTTAGGGTTTCGGGTTTCGGGTTTGGGTTTAGGGCTTAGGGTTTAGGGTTTAGGGTTTAGGGTTTAGGGTTCAGGGTTTAGGGTTCAGGGTTTAGGGTTTAGGGTTTGGAGGGAGTAGGGGGCTTGGGGGTCGCAGGTACGAGTATGTACTTTGCTCTGGTCGTTGTTAGGGAGCTTGTCTAGGCTTGACGACAAGGTTTTTGCGGCACGTGGAGTTTGTAAAGTGTCGCCGGAACTCCGATTCGAAGGTTCTTAAGGGGAGGGGGGGGTCATTGGGGGGTAGTTAGTTTCCTAGGGAAGCTTAGGGAGCCTGAGGGAGTAGTAGGGAGTATTGGGGGACCTTGGGTTGCATACCTGACAGACGGAGCTTCGTGGATTCATCGCTTCCTACTCCATTCCTCAATGGTCCGCCATTTCTTGCACCAACGAATATAGCAGCATGAACACTGGCAAATACACCGTTTCATATCAACGACTGTAAAGCAAACCTTCCTTCCTTCGCCTCCAAGTCTAGCTTGCAGCAAAAGACCCTCGTCTAGCAGTTGAAGTCGGACCTGTAAGTGCGAACTGCTTGGCCCAGCGAAACCAACGCCTTACACTGCGACGGTGAGCAGTGAACATGGGCTTAAGTGACGCGACGGGTAAGAAAAAGACATGTACGTTCCGAACGCCTGACACCTCAATCAGTTCAACAGACACGTGAATGTTCTCTGACGGCTCTGCTGCCTCTCCTTTGAAAACGTATAAGGCGGTTCGTCCTGCAATGCGGAGTGGCGGCACACAAAACCCACCTAAACCCAAGGCTTGCAGAAGCCCGAAACCCAAACCCTAAGCCCTAAACCCTAAACCCTAAGCCCTAAAACTAAACCCTAAACCATCTTCATGTTTTGTTTGCTCATGGGCTCGCAGGCCTTGGACAAAGCGCTGGGGCTGGACCATCCAACCGACAGCGTCAAGCAGGACACCGATTTCTGTTGGTCTTGGGTTCGTGTGTGCTATCATTGCCCTCCCACCACACAGCACCACAGCCTCATTGAGGGTGCAAACATCCCTTCTCTCTTACATAAGTTCCTACCACCACCTCTTGAGGCCTACCAGAAGTGGGACTTTGTGGGTTGACGGATATTGAGGGTAACCGCTGGGTGTTTAGCGCCCGCGCCAGAGGCCAGGCAGGAGTCAGGGGGAGCGTGATGGCCGGTTGATGGTTCTGAGCGCTGCCCTCTGCTCCCTCGCACTCGGGTTTAGGAAGACAAGCTCCGGTTGGGATGCCTCCGGAAAGCAAACCAACATCCAAACGCCCCAAGAAACGCCGGAGAACCCCCCCCCCCCCCACCACCCACCCCTGAACCCTGAACCCTGAACCCTGAACCCTAAACCCTAAACCCTAAACCTTACTCTCTAGAAACCCTAAGTTCATTCCTTCGCTTTGGCTTGTTGTGCCCTAAGCCCTAAACCCTAAACCCTAAACCGCACCCAAAACCCCCTCCGAGTCACCTAAAGGAGGCGCAGCAGATGGTCAACAAGAATGCCAAGGTGTTTACAGGGTTTAGGGTTTAGGTTTAGGGTTTAGGGTTTAGGGTTTAGGGCTTCTAGTCCTCAAGCCCAGGGGTCTTCACAGGGTTTAGGGGTTCAAAAGGCATGCTTCGGGTGTTTGAGTTGGGGGCAGAGGGGGAAGCTACGCGTTCAGGGCATTTCAAGATCCGAGTCGAGCCTCTTTTTTTCACGTGGCGAGGGGGGGGGGGGGGTTGGGGAGAGAGGGCTTGGGAGGTTGTTGGGGCTTAGGACTTCAGAGCTTCTTCCCCCCCCCCCCCCACCGTTTCGTCATGTTTCGGCGCCTTGTCCTTGCATGCGAAATTGTCAGCGCCCCTAGTGCTAGCAGTTGTGTCGCAGTCGTCGTCGTAGTAGTCGAGGGTTTAGGGTAAGCTGCCAGTAGGGCTTAGGGAAGAAAACCTTCTATCGGCAACAGCCAGCGAAGCCCTAAACCCTAAACCCTAAACCCTGGGGTTGCGGGGCCGGGGTGCGAAAGGCAGCGGCCGGGAACCTTGCAGCGGCTGTGAGCAACTTCTCCAAGATGTTGAGCCAAGGCCTACGGCGTAAGGCGAGCGAAAGAGAGAATAGGGTTTAGGGTTTAGGGTTCAGGGTTTAGGGTAAAAGAGCGACAGAATCTTGTTTTTGGGACCCCCAAACTGAAAACCTCAACACTTTTGACATTTGGCGAGCCATCCGTGGTGTTGGTTTCCTCGCACACCTTCGTTGTGAAGGCGCGTAGCCTCGGCTCTTAAAGGACAAGTGGGGACGATGCTCACCTCCGAACGCTGGGTCGATAATTTGGGTTGGCAGGGCTCTACTTAGGGTCCATAAGGACCCCATTTAAATGATGCTTGGATGTTTCGAGTGTAGAACTTCGGAATTCTGATTGTCACCGGGTCTTGAGGGAGTGAATGCCTCCTTTTGAAGGGAATTCCCAACTGTTTCGTAGACATATTGTATCTCCATCCCTACACCCTTTGGTCTTGAGTAGGACAAGGAGGTCAGCGCGGTGCATGTTTCCTTTCCTGAGCCACCTGGGGACCTTGCCTTTAAAGGGCACCCTGAAGTGAAACAACCTCGACACAATGTTGCTTTACTCCTCCAAGCTCCACACCTGGGATACCTGCAGTTTTGTGCGTGATACCTACTAATTCAGGGTAGCTACTACTCAACTGTAGGTAAAGAGTCTTAAAGAGGGTCCCGGCAGACTTCCACTTCAAGGGCAACACCTAGCATGGAGGGAGGTCTGGGGGTGGAGAGCCCAGAAGCTCAAACTCGGCACCCTTATTGCACCAGCGCCTGCTGTAGGGGCCTAATGACTAAAATAGGGTTTTGGGGGTTCGTTGTAATATCATTACAAAGGGGCCATAGGGAATACTGTTAGTAATTCCGACCCCTCTAGTATGCCCTAAAGGCCCTATGGTAAACTGTGCTGCAGGAGAGATGGACGTTGCTGGCAACGTCAGCAGCGCCCTGGCGGCCGTGGGCGCCATGGCACCGAGTGATTGTCGAGGGGATCGTTGCAGCATATTACATATATTTAGATTTGTTTAAGTATCTACTTATTTCTATGACAATGAAGTTTCTACGTATGTACATACATATATCTATATATGTATAATATATATATTTATATATTAGAACAAAGTTTATAAGTATATGGAAAATATCGAAACATGAAGTTCAATTTTATGGAGTGCAGACACTACCGACGGAGAATGCCGCGGTGCATCCGGGTTCGACCACCGTCTGCCGAATCTCACCCCGGCTTTTGCAACTTGGGCAACTGGCTTCCCTACCTGCAAGAGCAGGGGCAGGGCTTCAGGGCGGGCTAAGTCCCTTACTGGTCCCTAAACCCTAAACCCTAAACCCTAAACCCTAAACCCTAAACCCTAAACCTTGAGACAAGCTGACCTCAGGTAGCGCCCTGGAGAGCCAGAAGCAACCACTAGCAGGCCAGACGGGAGGTACACCGAGGAGGAGATTTATGGAGCAGGATTACGAGCCTGCGAGTCCGGTGTCAAGGAAAGTATGTGAAGGAAGGTAAGATTCCCAGCAGCTGCAGTTTGTTAAGGGTTTAGGGTTTAGGGTTTAGGGTTTAGGGTTTAGGGTTTAGGGTGCTTGACTAGCAAGGCGGATAGGCAAAGGTGCTGTGCTTTCGGAGGCAAGCCGCCCAATTCGGAAGTGCCTTCTCTGAAATTGCTTGCAGCATTGAGGGCTTAATCTCCGGAATTAGCCTGAGCCCCGACCTGAACCCAAAACCCAAAACCCTAACCCTAAACCCTAAACCCCAAACCCCAAACCCTAAACCCTAAACCCTATTGCCACATACATGTTGGTTCACAACTTTCCGACTTGCTTCTGAGGATTTTGTACTTGAGTCGCCTAGCCTTTAGAGCAGCAGGAAGCCGGAGCTTGTGAAAAAACGACGCCCTGTACCTACATGAAGCACCCTAAACCCTAAATCCTAAACCCTAAACCCTTGGATCTCCAAGGAGATGGCAAGAACGGCCCAGTATGCCATGAACAACATCTCCTCCATGCTCCGCCACTAGGACTGGGACGTTTGAGTTCAGGCTTTCTGAGGGACTTGATTTAGGATTTAGGGTTTAGGGTTTAGGCGGGCTCAAGAAAGAAAAGGTTAGGGTTTAGGGTTTATTCTGAGGGCCTCTGCACCCGATTTTTGTTGTGTACGTAAAAGGGCCAGAGGGGAGCAGCTGTTGGTGCAGCAATTAGACCTGGGGAGTTCGGAGTTCTGGATTCCTGGACAGCGCACGCTGTTGAAAACTACCTAAACCCTAAACCCTGAACCCTGAACCCTAAACCCTAAATTCATGTCCGGCTCAGGGCATAGCGTGGGGTTTTGAGACATCGGATGGGATGCGTGTCTAACCCAGCACCGGCGCGGCCATAGCTGTCAGCCAAGCGTCACACGACCTTGCCCCAGCTGAGGTCAAGGGGAGAAGAGCTTGGGCCACTCAACAAAACCTGATTTAGGGTTTAGGGTTTAGCATAGCCAAGCTCGTTGCAAAAGGGTAAACAAAAAGGGTTTAGGGTTTAGGGTTTAGGTGCAAGTGCTTGAGTTTCATCCGTAGGCTCCCTGCCCAGCAAATGAAATGCTCGAGCGTTGCGTGCCTGACTTCATGAGTCCTACGGCTCCACTAGGGTTTGGCTTCCCTGGATGCTGTGTATGGGTCTTGATGTAGCCGAGGCAACATGTTCAAGCCACCGCCACCTGTCGGCAAGGTTACAGTGAAAGGTTATGCATGGAGGACGCCTCCCTAAACCCCAAACCCTAAACCCCAAACCCTAAACCCTAAACCCTAAACCCTAAACCCTAAACCCTAAACCCTACTGTACGGGCGACAAACGTCGAACGCTCAGCTCGTTCTTCCTGTCGGGGAGCGCCTTTGTCCAGCACTGAGTTGATCTCTTGCATGGGACTGTCGAGCCATGTCCTTGCTGAAGGCAGCTCCCCCAATTTGTATTCAACTGTGACTCCGATGACTTCGGTTGCTTCCCGTTGTGTAGATATCTCCGGCAGGGTCGTTTTCCGAAATGCAAGCCCCACTCTTTCTCGGGGCACGTTTGGGCCATGATAGGGTTGTGTAGGTGCGCAGGTCTAGTCTAGTATTTGGGTTGCAAAGGTGGCAAGATCTACTTCTCGTTGCTGCCCGATCATCCCAGGCAGGTGCCCAACCCTTTGCAGATCTTCAAGAACCCCTTCGAGCAGAATACGCCAGCCCCATCCTCTCCGCCGGCCCCCCCCAACATGCAGCTTGACTGAAGAGCTTACCCCAAACGCTTACTAAACCCCAAACCCGAAGGTTTTGGGTTTAGGATCAAGGGCCAATGGGTTTGCCAATTCAGGGATGTTTTTTTTTCGGTTTGTGGGGTATCAAAGATTGTGTGCCGGGCATTGGTTGCTTTAGGGCCGAGGGCTATGGGTTTAGGTCTTAGGGCAAAACAAGCGTCTAACCTGAAGAGCCCCAAAACTGCTGCTTTGTGGGCCCCTCATACAAATATTATGGGTTCTTGAGGTAGTGAATTGGGATCCTGATATGGCCCAAACCGAAGGACAATCTTTCTAGTAGGAACCCCTCAAGGGGGGAGTTGATGGCGCCTTGGTGAGATTTAGAGTAATGGGGTTTATGGCTTAGGGAGTTTGGTTAGACGGGTGTCGGAACTGATAAGTTGTACTCTATCGTGGGCGCCTACCTCAAGAACCCAAAGCCTAAATTGTTTTGCAGGTTCATGGTGTAAGATCCTTCTAGGGCTCTTAGGTACGACAGGTCCGGGGTTCTCAAGGTAAACCCTAAACCCTTAACCCTTAACCCTTAACCCTTAAACCCTAAACCCTGAACCCTAAACGAATTGGGGCTTGCAAGGATAGAAGGGTCGAGACCGACAGATCAACGAAGCAACTCTACACACCCCACATCTCCCCCGAGTTAGATCAACTCCCAAGCCCACCCCCCCGCCCCCCAAGCCCTAAACCCTAAACCCTAAACCCTAAACCCTAAACCCTAAACCCTAAACCCTAAACCCTAAACCCTAACCCCCCCCACGAACCCCAAGGATGCCATGGGTGCAGCCAGCGCCCACGCCGAGCCCTGGACCCACCATTTTCCATTGACCCAGGAGACCGCGCCTTTCTTGGGGCATTAAGGGTTTAGGGTTTAGGGGTTTTAAGGGTTTGAAGGGCTTTCTAGGGTTTCTTGGGCTGTTCTAGGGTATAATGATGGGATTCGGGTTTTTTTTCTTTGCGGGTTTATGGCGCGTTTAGAGTTCTTTTGGGTTTTCAGGGTTTCTAGGGTTTTTTTTGGGCTTTTGGGGGTTGCAGGCCTTCACGGTGTTTAGGGTGTCTAGGGCCTTTAGGGCTTGTAGGGTTTATGGAGTTCATTAGGTTTATAGGGTTTCTGGTTTTTAGCGTTTGGGGTTTAGGCTGTCTAGGTTTCTTAGGGTTGTTTGGGGTTTTAAGTGCTTTTTAGGGCAGATTTTTAGTGTTTCTGGTTTTGGGTTTTTGTAGGGTTTAGGATTTGTAGGGTTTTTAGTGTGTTTATAGGGTTTTTAGGAGGGTTTATGGGGTCTATTAGGTCTTCAGGTTATTAGGGCTTTAGTGTTTATGGGGTTTTGGGGGTTTATGGGGGGGGGGGGGGTTGCAGGGATTAGGGTGTGGTGGGGGGCATTTGAGTTGATGTCGGAGTGCTTTTTTTGGAGAGGGTGTATATGAGGGCTCTTCAGGACGTTGTAACGGTTCTCTGGGAAGTTTGGTTGTTATTTCGGGCATCCAGCTTCCTTGAGGACGAAAAAAGGTAGGGTTTAGGGGCTTAGGGTTCAGGGGTTTAGGGGTTTAGGGTTCGGGGGTTTAGGGTTCAGGGTTTAGGGGCTTAGGGTTTTGGGTTTAGGGGTTCAGGGTTTAGGGGTTTAGGGTTGCAGAGTTTTGGTGCTCTAAGCGCGCAGGAAGTGGACACCCAGCCAGGCCCCCGAATGAGGGCATGTACAGTGTCGCCCCCGCTAACGTGGCTCACTTGCCTCTTTCTTTGGGTTGGTTATTGGTGCTTAGGTAGGGTTTTGGGGAACAGTGCCCCATTCTAAGAGATAGGCATATATGTGTATATATATATATATTCGTGAGTTGATAGGCTACCCCACAGAACTAGTAAGTTGGAGGTTTTGGCCTCCAACTTTAGATTCGCAGGCTACCTCAGCAGGGCATGCTGTGTTCTTTTCTGGTGGTTTCGGTTTTTTTTGGGTTTAGGGTTTAGGGTTTAGGCTTTGGGCAACAGGGCCTGCGGCTTCAGCACCGCGCCCCCGCCAGAATTCCCAGGTCAGCATGCGGCAAAGACTGAAAAATGGCAGCTTCTCCTGGGACCCTCAACCCTGAACCCTAGGCCGAATTCCGGATCCCTGAAACTTCAAGGCCACGAGAGCAGACCGAACACAAATCCCATCCCAGAATAACATGGGGTCGGAATAAGTAGTAAGAGTATTTCCCCCAACCCCACACCCTGTTCAGAAGCCTGTCTATACCTAAGCCGGGGTTTACAAAGGGTTTAGGGTTTAGGGTTTAGCCTCAGCAGTCCTGGGTTAAAAAGGGTTTAGGAAAAAAGGGTTTAGGGCCACGAATGAGGGTGACCTTGCTGGGGTTTGGGAGTCGAACCTTCCGGCATGTTGCCGCTTCAAAAGTTGCGGAAGGAAGTATGAGTCGCGTAGGTGGGGCTGATCATGGGTGACGTACTATTCTGTACCTGCTTGGCACCGTATGCACTCCCTACAGCTGCCTCTCGTAGGACCCCACTCTTGAAGCGGATGGATAGAGAGGAAATGCCCCCTTCATTTCCCCTTCATTTCCCCTTTCCCCCCACCCAAAATTCGACCGGTTTTTCCGAATCTGACGTGCCTCTTGGCCCGGCCAATCTCGTCTTGGCGTTGCATCAGAGGTTGGTCGAAAGCCACGCGAGCAAGTAGCGTGACTTGCTTAAGAACAATATTAAGGAATACAATCCTTCATTTTTAGGGGGGTTCTTGAGCAAGTAGTAGGTTTCGGAAAGCCTCCCAATGCTTCAGCAACAGCTTGCCGCCGTGGAATCTGGCTCGGGGGAGTCGTCCGGCTCGCAGATGCGCCCGAGGCGCGGAGAGCAGCGCCTGGGCAGATCTTTCAAAAGGGGAAGTGGCGACTTCAGACTGTAGGTTGAAGTAAGAAATAGGGTTTGGGGGGGGTTAGTATGTCTATTTAGGGGCCAGAAGGGAAAATACTTTGCGTACTTGATGTCCACGAAGCCCCTTTGTTGAGCACACATCCTGCCCCACGTCGGATGAGGGCTCCCGTCTCCCGTAGGGCCGTTTGGGCCACTAAGAGGCTGGGGATTTTTCTGGTCGTTTGCTTTCTGCTTTGGGCTCCCTTGTTTTGTGTTAAGTCTGTTAAGTAACATTCATGCTAAAAAGGCAATCTGCATTGCTGTTTATTCTTCGCATGAATGTTATTATTCGTAGTAGGCAAACCCAGCGGCGAACCCTTGCAGCACCAAACTGCTTGATTATGAGAGCCTGGACCTCTTTCGACCAAAACCCCCTCGAAGCTATTCCAAAGTCAGGCACGGGGGGACATGAAAACCCCGTCGGCAACGCCGGGGGTCAAGTGGGAGCCTCGAATCTCACGGTGCCTGCTGTGCTCGGGGGGCTGGGGATTTTCCATGGCATTTTCGGTGACGGTTTGGCGGTTGTGGCTTCGTGGGTTCGACTTTGCCGATGGTTGCGAGATGTGAGCAAGCGCGATCCATATTAAACTCCATGGCCAAACCACGAATCCCCTGGCTCAAGCAGTCGCTTGCAGAAAGTGAACTCCCCGCTTCCCAGAGACTCGACTCGCGCCAGGCATGGCGCTTCCTTTTAGCCTCGAGGCGAAGCTGGAGGAGTTTGTGAATGAGTTGGTCAGTGAATCGCCTCTCCGACCGGGAGCTGCCAAAGACAAGTTTCATGAGATGATCAGAATGGAGGACATGGAGTCCACACCCAGCATAACCACGGAAGTGATCTCGCACGAGGGGCTCACACCCACGTGCAGCAGCTCGGCCACGTCAATCTCGGATTACGAGCGTTACGAGCTGCCCATGAAGGTGTCCATCACTGCACCATGCCCGAAGGAGATCCCCGCCCCATCTTGGTCGACACCGGTGCACGTGCAAGCCGGACACAAGAGCTTTCCAGTTCGCACGGACGCAACCCGCGAGCTCAGCTCCAGGCTGCCTCCACCTTGGGTGGCTTCTGTGTCGTTCCCTTGCCTGAGTACCACACCGGGACCAGAAGTGGGTGCAGCTCCCTTCTCTCCCTTCCCCGCTCCCATGCCAGTGCCTCCCTTCGGCGCCCCACCTGGGCTGGAGAGGCCCATGCCACCCAGGCAGCCCATGGAACCCATGGCAGCCATGGCAGCTTCCCAGCTCCCTCCCCGTCGCCCAGGCGCCAGGGCGAGGGGCGCGGGCGGCGCGGGAGGGAAGTTCCTGTGCCGCTTCGTCTTCACGGGCTTCGATGTCACCAACCATGCCGACTTCGAGCTGGTCCCTCGCCTCATCGGACGCAAGGGCTGCAACCTCCGCCCGATCTCCGAAGCATGCCGAGGAAAGATCCGAGTCATCGGAGGCGATGGAAGCCAGCGGGCAGGCTATTTTGGCATGGACAGCCCAGTGACACTGGAGCTTCAGTGCCACAGCCGGGCGGACTTGGACGAGGGATTCCAGCAGCTGTCGGCTCTGCTGCTTAGGGATTTTTTAGAAATATTTTATAACTTTTCTGTGTACTATATTTCCGAATTAAGAAGCAGCCAAAATCATAAATGTTTCCTAGGGTCCAAGATCAGTATAGGCTGGAGGAGCTCCAGTGCCACTTCTATCGCTATTGCTGCAAGCGCGGTATCAGCCCGGCACCTCGGCTGTACCACACTCTCCCCTGAGCCCGCAGATTTGGTTGGCATGTGCATCATCTTTGGTGATGCTGATGCAACATGTCCGACCATGGTACACCTGCAGTTTGTTCCTGCGTGCCGGCAGCGCAACGACGGCGTACATTTTTTCTTGCGCTGCGGGCAGTGCACTCGCCAAACATGTGACTTGAACTTACTGAACGTTACAAGTCAACGACATGAATGCTTCCTTGGGTTCCTACACTCTACAACGTGTCAGTATGTTTGCGCGTCATAGCATGTGCCCTCAAAGCCGTGTCAGGCCAAAGATCTTGGAAGGGGATGTGGGCCAGGAGCCCTTATTCGTTTACGTATCGATTGGTTCGACGTTTGTGCAAGGCATCTCCTGTCCAGAGGTACACTTGGCCGGAATTCAGGATGCGATGTGGGGCCAGCCTTGACCCAGCATCCAGAACGGAGCAGCTGAGCTTTGTGTTGCTTTCAAGCTGCTTTCTTAATTCGCCATTCGATGTCCCTGTCTGGATCATGTGCCATCTGTTTCTGCTAGATGGTCTTCAGAGAGACAGCATTCGTGTGCCTTACCTTGTGAGAGCTATCTTTGTGACATTGCCTACGTTGAGAGGTTTTAAACCTAAATGATGGCACAGCCAGGATGCATGAGCTGCTTCCATCATCATGAAATTGTTATGGAATCCAGAGCCTGCCTGGAACGTCTAGCTTGGACATGGAGCGGAGTGCTCGAAGAAGCCAGTAAACGGCTTCTGATCCCACAGGGAAGGGCGTTTCATATGTTATCATGTTGGAGACGGCGTCGAAAGTCTGGTTGTTCTAAGGTGCCACGATGCAAACAATTATTTGCATGAATGTCAGGTCTCTTATGGGCTATAGGCCGTTCCCAGTCGTTGGGCATTCCCAGATCCTTCTTCATCCTCCATTTCGCAAAAAGACGCCTTCTGCCATGCATCGGAATATTGGGAGGCATTGGTGTTGCTGCAAGATGGCTTCAGCCTGTAACATTCTGCCGGGCCTGTGGCAGACCTCAGTTTCAGCCTCCCTGCACCGTGCGAATCTGAAAGCGTGCTTGATTGCCATAGGCAGCCGGGCAATCAGCCGATGTGCAGATCAGAAAGGCATATCACATGTAGGTTCAACCCCTTGCAATTACATGTACACCCTGGCAATTCGCCACGGCAGCATGATTGTAAACGTGTGTCTACAGACTTGCGATGTTATCTGCATATTTATGCACGACAGCTACTTACAGCAAGTTCACTGCTATTATCTCGCTGTTTCAAGAACAGCTTGTGCATGACAGCTTGGTCGGTGTAGGTGGCATCACACAGCTATCAGGTCGTCAAGGTTTGTGAAGGAGTGAAGTCGTTCTGATTTTTTCAGGCACACCCCGCATGTCCAGTCCAAATCAAATCACAGAGATATGCCTTCGCCATGCATGACGGAGGCAATGGTATGCTACACCAAGGGTTCGGCTTGTTGAATTGACGTTCTGCTGAGCCTGTGGCTTACTTGTGCCAATTCGAGCTGGTCTCGGTGCCACGGAACTTTGCGATGGAAGAGACAAGTCATTCCACATTTGTTGAGGCATCACCCTAAACCCCATAAATGGCAACCAAACTTGGTTGCCATTTCATCGTTTGCATGGGACTACTATTTGCTTCAGCCCCCCCCCCCCCCCCCAAAAAAAAAAAAAAAAAATGAAAGATAATAATCCCCTATATATTGCCCTTGGTAAGGAAGAATCTTTTTTTTTTTTTTTTTTTGGGGGGGGGGGTTCTTAAGCACCCTAAACCCTAAACCCTAAACCCTAAACCCTAAACCCTAAACCCTAAACCCTAAACCCTAAACCCTAAACCCTAAACCCTAAACCCTAAACCCTAAACCCAACTAAATCGCACTGGTGCTTGAGAGCCGGAATAGCCCTGCCAGGGAGGAGAAGCCAAAGGATGGTGAGTGGACGACCCAGGAGGGATGGCATGCGTTTAGGGTTTAGGGTTTAGGGTTTAGGGTTTAGGGTTTAGGGTTTAGGGTTTAGGGTTTAGGGCTACTAGGGCTTTGGGCTTTCTAAGGGGCTCAGTATGCTTCGGCTAATGGGCTGAGGGACATGTCCGTGCAGGATGTATGCGGCTTTGGAGGTTTCAGGTTCCACGCAGCTCCCGCAACAATGAACATGGCAACGACAACTCAGCAATCGTAGTTGCACGGTTGATCATGACAGGCACATGTATATATATATATATATATATATATATTTATAGATATAAGAATACATGCACATGTATATATATATAATATGAATACATACACCGGGGAGAAAGGATGGCGCAGTTTGGTTTTACTCGAGTTAGTGGACTGGCCTGTTTGCACCCTCTTAGCCTGCGGGGTCTTTGAATCAGGGGATGTAGATAAAATGGAAATAAAAAAAAAGACAAATTGTATCAATATGATAATGATGATACGATAATGATGATTCATATATTGTAATCTGTGGCCCGGGGGGGGGGGCTCGGTCAAGCAAGGGTTGGAAGCAATTTCAGAGAGGCGGGTAGATATGGAAGTGAGTCGAGGGCCCTGGGGCGTCACTTAGAATCAGAGACCAACGACGCCTGCAACTGCAGAAGCCCACATGCTTTCCGTTCCAGCAGATTGGGATGTTGCCCCTTAAACTAACAGTCCTCAATGAATAGGGACTATAATGGGGTACTATAATCTCTATTAAGGACTGTTAGTACAAGGGGGAACATCCCAAGTAGCCACGGAAGTGCCATCCCATAATATGCAAACACTGGCCCAAAAGTACTTGCCATCCTTCTTGACGCTCCGACAAGAATTGAGAGCCATCCACGTCCTCATGGGCATAGAAACAACATTCACTCTGAAGGACATTGGCAGGTGCCGAGACAGCACCATTCTTCCACGCATTGTAGCTCTTGAATACCTATAACAAGTTCAGAGGGCGGCATTGCGCTGCATGAAATCTTTCCGTGTCTTTGTTCAAGATCTGTGGCCAGGAGGTAGAGCACATCATCAAGAAGGCCAACGAGCTGAGTGAGAGCGTGGAGCTGAGAGTGTAATGCACGGAAGCGAAATCTCCCAACAGCTGGGATCCAAATCGCTTCGAATGTTCGCTGCCCTTGCATGGCGCCTGGCTGGGCTATGCTTACAGGCCAATATGAGCACATTGATTGGAGCCCTAATCACTCCCGGCAACGGCTAGCCCCACGTGCAAAAAAACAAAAGAGCAAACACAGCAACAACACATGACCCTCACACACCCACACGGAGCTTGGCAACTCGGTTTGCGATTGCTGTTGCGCCCTCTCTGGTGATGTCGGTGCGTGTGGTTTCGCGGCGTTTGTTGCCCGATGTGCTATGCAGCCACAGCTGGGTCTCCGGCAGCTTGGGCGGCAGACGCATCGGCTGGCATGCTGCCAGCACCCGTTTTGCGACTGCGGCTGAGGTGGGTGTTGCGCTGGGGCAGGCGATGAGCAACCATGCCTTGGCAAACCTGCCGGTGAAGACGCTGGGCCGGTTGCTGGCGCAGCCGGGGGCTTTGAACAGCCAAGACTTTGAAGAAGCCATGGGCGTGGCAATGACAAAGGTGCATGACATGGATGGGAAAGATTGCATAAGAGTTTTAGGGGCACTTATGCATGTGCCCAGCGCGACTCGCCCAGACTCTGCTTCCTTGCAAGCACTCGGTGCACGACTCTCCGCTGGTCTGGCGGACATCTCCAACAACGACATGGCTGAGTTAGCCGAGAACTTGGCAGAGGTTTCGGTGCCCGTGGCCCCGGTCTTCGCACGGCTCTCTGCAGCCTTCAGCCTGCGCGTGTCTGGCGCCTCGGCACCACAGCTGACAAAGGTGGCGTCAGCCTTTGCCCGAGCCCGGCTGGCTGATCGCCGGCTCTTCCCGCGCATGGCGCAGGGCGCGCTGAAGCAGCTCCACGTGTTTTCGCCGCCGGATCTTTCTTCCTTTGTCTCGGCCTTCGCTGCAGTGGGCCTCTGCCATGAGCCACTGCTCGCAGCTTCGGCAAAGGTCCTGGTGGCCTTTGGCCCCCGGCTTTCTGCCCTCGACCTGGCCCTCGTGGCCTTCGCCTACGCACAGTTCTTCCTGGTTTTTCCAGGTGGGGGTTATTGGGGTCCTCATTATAAGGGAATCCTACTATTTGGGGACTATTTTTTAGGTGCACCTTATTTTCGTAAGCCCCGAACCCTAAACCCTAAACCCTAAACCCTAAACCCTAAACCCTAAACCCTAAACCCTAAACCCTAAACCCTAAACCCTAAACCCTAAACCCTAAACCCTAAACCCTAAACCCTAAACCCTAAACCCTAAACCCTAAACCTAACCCTAAACCGCCAGGTGTGACTTCCATGCTCCAGGCTCGGTTGCCTGAGTGTGCCCACGAGCTGCCTTTGGAGAGGCTGGCCGAGCTCACCGTGTCCTGCGCAAGGCTACTGGCCCTTGGGACGTAGTCTCTACTTTTATAAGGGTTTATATAAGAGGATTCCATAATTATGGGACTATTTTTTTCGAAGGGTTTCTAAGAGTATTCTATACTTATATTGGAATTATTACAGGTTTCAAAGAGGGCTTTCGGGGCCCTCCGAGGCTGGATGTGAAGTCGCCTGAGCTTCAAGCGGCCCTGGCGCGGAACTTGCAGCTCGGCCCTCTCAGTGACGAGCTCTTTGGCCAGGTCTCGAAGTCTCTTATGGATACTTGGAAAAACTTTTTTGTTTTTTGTTTAAATTTTTGGGTACTCTAATTTTGTATTGTAAGAAACAGCTAGAATTGTAAATTTAGCTAGGGTTCCCAAGTTCAGTACAGGTCTGCGGCCTTGTTGGGCTTGGCTTCCTCACCGCGGCTGCGGTCGCAAATGGCAACAGAGTGCCAGATGCGGCTAGGGCACCTTGCAAACCTACACGACCTGCATGTCCAGGCTCACGCTCAAGGTGTGTGGTGGTTGCTGGACCTGCTCGAATCCCTGGGACTGGCAGCCGAGGACGCACGCCTTGAGAGGGGTGGTGCTGTTGCCGAGTTTTGGGGCAGTGCGCTGGGCGCCCTGTTCCCAGCTTTGCAGGGCTTTTTCCCGGTGTTGAGCCCAACGGAAATAGCCACAGCCTACCGGGCCTTGAGGCAGCTGCCGCCGTGTTTGGTGCGGGCCATGCCCAATAGCCCCTGCTGGCAGGCGCACGAGCAGCTGGCACTTCGCTGTCTGAGCCTTGCCAGCGTGGAGGCTTTTGACTTCCAGCTCCAAACCTCTCTGCTCTATTCCCAGCTATGCTTGTACCCTGAGCTTTGGTCGAATGGCAACGAGGGGGCCTCCCTCACAAACCCCACCTGGGCACCGTTTCTCACAAGCTTCACGGCCTCGTCCGCAGCCTGGCAGCAGATGGAGCCACCGGCAGAGATGGAGCCCAGGACAGCAGAGCAGGCAGCTGCACTGCAGCTCTTATGGAAGCCTGGCAGCCCAGTGGTACCCTTTCTTTTTTGGGGTGCAAGGTTCCCTCACCAAGTAAACAGCAAAAAAAGGGGTGCCCTTGTTATCAGATGGTTACTGGCAACTGGGCTACCGAGGAAGCCTGAAAACTTGGAAAAGGCCAGCAAGGCTGAGCATCGAAATCGCCCGGTGGCCCTTGAACTCCAGGAGTACATTCGCGCCTCGAGTGCCGGGGCGGCGGTAGAAGGCCCCTTGTGGGAAGGGCCATGTGAGATCCACGCGGCCGTCGGCACCTTGGCCTTCTGCCTCATGCCAGAGGAGGCCTACTTCAAGCTCGGCCGCCAGGAATCTGAATCATTTTGTGCTTTTTTTTTACGAATACTTAAAGGAACAAACATGATCATGTTTAAATGGTGCCCCAACAATCGTGCAGGAGTCATTCTCCCAAGACCTGGATGAAGAGAAGGGGGAGCTTTGCCACGAGATGGCAGCACAGCTTCATTTGTTGAGGCCCAGTGCTTCCCCAAAACCCCCCCTTAGTGGTTGAGGGTTTTGGCCCCTTCTTGCAGAAAGCACGGAAGGATAGCAGTAGCAGAGCATCTGGCAGAGTATGTGTTTTCAAAGCCTGTCTGAACACCGGCAACAGAGTCGTCACCAGGCTGGCGGAATCTCTGCAATATACCCAGAGGGTCCATAAGTTCCAGCACAAGACCCTAAACCCTAACCCTAAATCCCAAACCGTGCAAACCCCATAAACCCAAAACCCTATAAACCCTAAACCCTAAACCCTCTCAGTGGCTAGAGCGCTGGGCCCCTGGAGGGCGCGCGGTTGGCACGTCAAAGCCCTATCGTTCCATACCTGGCGTCGGCTGGGGCGGAGTCAGAGGCAGGGCAGAGCCAACCGGTATCCTTCTAAGCCTCTGGTGTGACATCACTGGTTTAGGTTTAATTTTAACGCTACGCGACCCGCCTCGGCCCGGCCCAGCGCATCCGCGTGAGCAATGGTGATTCCGCAGCGCCCAAGTCGCTGGACCCCAAGCAATAAGGGTTGGGTTGAGGGTTGAGGGTTGAGGGTTCCGGGTTTATGGTTTATGGTTTGGGGTTTGGGGTTGAGGGTTAGTTTAGGGCTCAAGGTTCACGCTTTGGGGTTGAGGGTTTTTTTGGGTTTAGGGTTCGGCTTGGAGTGATCGTAGGGTTGAGTCAGGCTTTGACTCTTCGGCAGGGGTGGGGGGGGGGTGGGTGGGGGGGGGGGGGGGGGGGGGGGGGGGGGGGGGGGGGGGGGGGGGGGGGGGGGGGGGTCAACGGTGGGGGGCTCTGCTGGGAGGGCTTCAACGGCCTCTGTCCTGGAACCGTCCGCTTGCGGACCCGTTTCTCAGGGAGGGTACCCATTTGAGGCCAAAAAAGGGGTCCGAAAGAGAACAGACAACCCATACACCTCCGTCCCGAGGCCTCGGCGGATTAGGGTTTCAAAAAGGTTTAGGGTTTAGGGGTTTAGGCCCAGATGGAAAAAGGGTTTATAGGGCTTTTTGGACCCAGGGCCGCGGATACCCCATCATTCTTCCAGCACGACCCGTACCGTAGACTCTTAGGCATGCGAAATCCCGCCTAGCCTCCAAAATTCGTTGAGGAGCTCCTCCAAACCCACAACTATTCCAGCACTTCAAACCCTAAACCCTATAACCCTATAACCCTATAACCCTATAACCCTAAACCCTGCCAAAAAAGAACCCTAAACCCTAAACTGGCCCCACACCCTAACGATACCCTAACTCGGCAGGCAGTCCTGGGTGCAGTCCGCTCTCTCCGGGCCGGCAGTGTAACCGCAGAAAAGGCGCGACTACCCCTGTGGCCAAGGCACTTTCAGGCAGCCACAACTTTAGGGTTTAGGGTTTTTAGGGTTTTTAGGGATTTTAGGGCGTTTAGGGTTTTTTGGGTTTTTCGGGTTTTTAGGGTTTTTAGGGTTTTGGGGTTTAGGGTATAGGGTAGCACAACGAAGCAAGCCACCTTAGGCCCTCCACGCTACGCTGCTACTCAGCTACACCCCCCCCCCCCCCCCCCCAACTTCTTTGCGGAGCCGCTGAGCGACTCGTTCGTGTCATGTAGGCTTCGGCGCTCTAAAGTCTTGCATCTTCTTTCAGAGGATCGCATGTGAGAATCTGTTTTCAAAGGGTAGCGACTATGTGCAAAGGGTCAGCCTAGGGTTGCAGAGCCATGCTGCGAGTCCCGCAGTTTCGGGGTTAACAGGGGTGGCTGATATAGGGCCTCCCGAAGCCTGTTTTGGGTTTCGGGGTTTAGGGTCTAGAGACAGATGCCTGGCAAGACTCCCCAGGGCCCTGGACGTCAAAAAGGGTTTGGGGTTTAGGTTTTGTTAAACCCTAAGCCCTAAACCCTAAACGGGGTTAGTTCAACCCTCAACCCTACTTGATCGTTTGTCATGCAGACTCTTCCATTGTGGGCTTGCAAACTAAGATAGGGGTACCCCCTGCTATACCCCAAATAGCATCGAATCCCCTGAAAGGGACCCCCCAAAAAGGGTACCGGAATTTTCGGGAACCCCCCGTGTAGACATTAACTGTCAGCCTTGCCCCCTTACATGGCTGGCACCCTAAAACCTACGCCCTAAACCCAAAACCCAATGCTCTCCTTCATAGTTGCAGAGCAGTCGGAATAAATAGCTAATAGTGTTCCCTTATGGCCCGTGTCAACACCAAAAACCCTATTTTAATCATTTAGGCCCCTAGAATATTGGAACGTCCAGACACACAACCCTAAACCCTAAACCCTAAACCCGGGTGGCAAAAAAGCCCTAAACCCTAAACGCCCAGGCCAGGGTAAGCGGACAGAGCAACGCGAGAAAGCCTTGGAGAACCTCATCCGAGCCCAGGACAGGCCACACCGGAAGCTTTACATCGGGGTCAGAATAATTACTACTGGTAGTCCCGTATGGCCCCCATATATATATGTATATATATATACTTGTACATATATACATATATATATATATACAGCACTATTAGCCGCTAAGCCCTAAGTTAATTGTCAAAGCCCCCACTGTATATTACAGCAAGTCATGCTATCAATTCCCTGAGTCAGCTGGTTTCGGGTGCGCTGGCCTTCGGAAGGGCTCTCGATGCTTCGGTGTGTTTTGGTCATTCCACGCCTTGGGCAAGGGTGGTTCACATATTGTGCTTGGGATGGTTCCCCCTTATACAGTCCTTAATAGGGATTAGAGTGCCCTATTACAGTCCCTGGCACGGACTGTTCTTCTAGGGGGGAACATCCCAATGGTGTGCTGAGAGGAGCTCTTTGAGGCCAAGGACAAGGAGTTGGTGGATTGCCAGACGCGCTACAACCAGGCACGTGGCGCGCGCCAATCCATCTTTACAGGGAGCTGTTTGCGTGTTTGTCTTTGGGGGGGGGTTGGAGCCGTTTTGCTTCTTTCCTCCTTCCCTGAAGCTTGGGATGTTCTCCGCTTATACTAACGGTCCTTAATGGGGATTCTAGTAGCCCTATTATGATCCCGATTAAGGACTGTTAGTATAAAGGGGGAACATCCCAAAGCAGCTTCGTGACCAGCCACGAGGTGGCCAAGACACTCAACGAGAAGCGCGCGAAGCGCGACAGTCTCAAGGAGCAGGCTCGCGAGTGGGCGCTTTTTGTCCTTTGTATCACTTGGTTGATGGTTTGCCTGGCAAACTATATGCATATATTTATATATATATGCGAGGTAGCATGATATATATATATATATAGAGAAACAAACACAGGACATACCCTTTGATAGGTTGCTCGGGGACCAGCCTACCAGCCCTCGAACAGGGCTCAAGCTCGCGATCCCACAACAAGCCTCGGCTCTTAGCCCGCTACCTTAACAACTCAAACGGCTTAATTAGGGTTTAGGGTTTCGGGTTTTTGTTCCATCGTAGGTCATAACCGCATCGCCCCTTAGAAGGATTCTTCTGTCGCCTACAAAAGACCCGGGGTTCGCGGGTTCGAATCTAACCCCATATAGGCCCCGCGACATCAAAAACAGAAAGCAAGCCCTCAACAGAATCCCTAATCCCTAAACCCTAATTAAACCCTCAACAGAATCCCTAAACAATCAAATCCCTCAAAAGCCATGGAAGGTGGATGAGCCCGCACCCCAGCTTTGCAGAAGTGGGGAGGATCACAGGGAGCCTAATTAAACTCAACCATCTCTGTGAGGGTTTAGGGTTTAGGGTTTAGGGTTTAGGGTTTAGGGTTTAGGGTGGGCTTTGTGAAGTCTATGCGGGTGCCCACGTCTCCGTTGCGCAAGAGCACTGAGGGGAACACCCCAAGAGAAAGGCTTAGAGGGCCTAAACCCTAAACCCTAAACCCTGTTTAGGGCCCTCGAAGGTGTTCCCGGATGATGGCAGGGCTGGTGAAGACCACCCTCGATCACTCCAGCATCTTGGCTTGGGGGCTGTCAGTTAGTTTTTTGTTTTTGTGCTGTGCGTTACCTTACTTTTTGGCAGGTTCAAAAGCCTGCCCAAAGGCCCACAAGCAATCTCTTCAAACTCTAGTTGCATTTGCATGACATGAGCGCCAAAACTGTCGGAAAACCATCCTCGGGGGCTTAGATTCGTGAACTGCTTGTGAGCTACTCGTATGCACGCTTCTGGCTACGAGCTTTGTATCCTTATCGTGCACCAAACATGGCGAAATGTTGCACCCAGATTTGATTTTGCACCTCTTGCCTTTTTTTGCGGGGCAAAAAACGTGCCATCCGCATTTCGAACAAACAAATTGCTTTCGAACAAGATACACTTAGAGTTAGCTAAACGCGACTGTTGGTTGGCCCAAAATCCCGTAATTCACCCAAAGTGAATTTTGTGTTATTGCGAGCGACCTGGCTTTACAGTAACAGAAATGTTACACTCCTGCAGTGCGACTCGGTAGAACTCAGTCTATCCAATTACGTCACCCCAAAGGGTTTGCACAGGAAGCCACAGAAACCTGCTGCGCCCCCATGAGTGAGCCAAGGAAAGGCGCATGCCTTCGGCAAGGAGTGGCCCGAGCCGTTTCGCGGTTTAGGGTTTAGGGCCAGTTTAGGGGTTTGGGTTTATGGGTACCCGCAGGTCACTGCAGGGTGTCAGCGATGATAGCTAGCCCGAGATGTCGTTGCTTGGATGCGCGTCTTTCCTCTGCCACCTGGGTTTCAGTATCTACTTTGCAAAAGAACCCCCAAGGCCCAAAAATGACAGAATAATCATCCCTATGATGAGGAAGCTTTGTTTGTTTTTTTTTTGGGGAGGGGGGGGGTTCTTGTAAACAAATAGTAGTTCTAAGCTTACATACGTGTGGGTGAGGCCCCGGAGTTGCAAGAACGGGAGAAGCGCCGCACGGCTCGAAGGTGACAGAAGGTCGAGGGGTCCATGCAGGCTTAGGGTTGAGGGTTTAGGGTTTAGGGTTTAGGGTTTAGGGGCGCAAACCCCTACCTGGGACCCTCTTTACCTCGGTTTTTTACCTGTTATACCTACTAGTTAAGTTAGTACCGAGCTGTAGGTAAATGTCCAAGGTCTCTTACAAGGGAACCCTGCTCTTTGGGCGTCTAAATTAGAGCTACCCCCCCATAAAGACAGCACGGAGCCATGTGCTTCCATGTGCCCTGCCCCATGCGTCGGCCAGTGCGGCATGCTTCTTGATGCTTCGGCAAGACTTGCTTGGTTTGCACCGTGGCTATTGTAGAGCCGCGCAGTGCAAAGGATGCGACGGCTTCCGGCGTGCAGAAAGTTATGACCCAGCAGCTTCCGTGGATGTGGGCTTCCGCTGTGCGTCGTGCGGTTGCCTCTCAAAGCATCATGAGCAAGTTCCTCCTTGGCCACAGACTGACCAAGCAGCAGAGATGCTTTCAGAAGCTCATCCTCCTCCGTGCGTCGGCGACATGGTGCAGCTCACACCTAGTGAG